ATGTGATTGAGTCAAAATAAACTACAGTGTGCGTGTTCATGGTAATGAATGTCAGCCAGTGCAACAGTGTGGCTCTGTGATGTGTTTTAATGGTTTTTGGACAACTTAATTTAATTACTTGTACTTACGTCCGCAGTATAAAATTTACTGCTTATCTGTTCATACTGTAAATATATATTTAATAGCTCTATATATCTTAGTATATTCACTTCCCTCCATTCATTCTGTTAATGCTGTTCATACTGTAAATATCCAGCTAGTATATTCATATATATATTTATAATGTTATTTTTTTTAATATATCCCTGTACATATACACTTTACTCTGCACTTTACTGCTTTTTGCACTTCTGGTTAGATGCTTAACTGCATTTCGTTGTCTAGTACTCTAGTACTTTGTGCAATGACAATAAAGTTTAATCTAATCTAATCTATGGCACAGGGGAAGAAGATACATCAGGCTTTGATACAAAATACTTGTTAGTAGGATCTATTCATTGTTTGGCTCTTCACATGGGATGTAAGATGTACATTTTTGTATCCTTACATTTTTTTGAACCAGACAAATTAACTAATATATTTTATAGAAGTTAATTATCTACTTACAAATCATGCTTCTAAAATTCCATTCAATTTCCATTAATTCTGCTTACTCGTTCAATTAAATTGATGGCTGCCTACCAGACTTGCATTTACTCATTGCATGCGGTGCACCACTGCACTATCTATATGTATAATCAGTACATATGTCAAACTCCTACTCTGTTTATGTGGAGAGTCTGCTTATAAACAGGAGGCAGTGATGTGACTGTGAGTAAAATGGAGGCAGATTAAGCAAATGTTCCTTGTTGCTAAAATAGGATACGTATCACAATACAGGGATTACGATTCAATATATTGCCATATATTAGGGCTATATTTTGTGATTTAAATTCCAATTTAAGGAACTATCATGGTATAAAGAACACACCACCATATAAATAGAAAATGTTTTTATGCAACCAAACAGTGGGATCTGCATCATCACAGTCCCACTGTCTGTAACACTGATCCAGGTTCATAACACTACTTTTTTTGCAGTCTGAGCGTTGGAGTGGAAATTAGTCTGTGGCTGAAGATAGATCACAGAAGTGTTATCTAGGGGTCGGGGTTTAAACACTTGAACACAAAATCAACCGCTGCAATAAAATTGCATGTAAACTATAAATTACAAATCCATACAGCAAACGTAATATTGTGATACTTGAGTGTGTTGATATATTTTCTTACACCCCTAGTATATATGTATGTGTAGTTTTAGTGAAGATAAATGCAACCGGGTGGCTGTGGCTCAGAGGCAGAGCGGGTCGTTCCTTAATCGGAAGGTTGTGGGTTCGATCCCCGGCTCCTGGTGCCACATGTGGAAGTATCCTTGAGCAAGATACTGAACCCCGAATTGCTCCTGATGCCGTGCGTCTGTGTGTGAATGTGTATGAATGTTAGTTTCTGTTTGATGGACTTTGTCATCACTGTGTGAAAGAGTGTAAAAGCGCTTTGAGTGGTCGGAAGATTAGAAAGGCTCTATACATATAAGTACAGGTCCATTTACTATTACTATTGAGGATGTGTATCATTAGACAGCAGCTGATAATTAGGGATGTAAAGATACACTCTACTCATGATTCAAGACTGCGTTCATGATGTATTTTTCCCACTATATTTTTAGAGAGATTAAAACAAATTAAGACTAAAAAAGATTCCTTTATTTCTCAGACAAAAATCGACAAAATATGTTTTCTTATATCAGTCAAGAAGAGAAAAACAACAATCTGTGTTTATTTATGTGGTAGTTTATACACTGTGCATACAAAACAATGTACATTTCCTTTTCCTTGTCATAGTGAAACTGAAGTCTTGCCTTGATACCACAATTGATATCACAATTTAATGTTCAGGGCAGGGAGTTCTGGAGCAGAGCTGCTCTGACTGCAAAAGCATGGTCACCTTTCGTCTCAATCTGGGACTCAGGAACAGCCAGCAGATTCCTGCCCAAGGATCAGAAGCTGAGCCCCAGCTCATCTTTTAAAGGTCATCAATAAAATCTTAAAATCAATTCTAACACTGACTGCTAACCAGCCTAGAGAAGCTAAAACAGGGCTAATACAATCAGTAAGTCACCAAAGTTTGCAGCTGTGCCACTAAGGGGAAACTTATGTTAGATTTGAATTGATTGATATATTGATATTTGCAAAAACACACACCCCCTTTCACCCCAAATACTTAAACTGATTCACTCAGTGGAATGATTGTTGTGTGACACCAGTGGATTACAGAGGTGCGATAAACAAAAGTCAGCCTGTTTTGTGCCAGTTTGAAAGAAGAAGTAAAAGTTTGGATGATGTGCTCAAGGTACAGCACACAACACACACACACACACACACACACACACACACACACACACACACACACACACACACACGCATAAAGCTTGTTATCAGCCCCCCACAGCCAGTGTGCTGTCTTTGTCCCACACACTCACACCTTGGGCAAAGTCACCCTGTGTGTGTGTGTGTGTGTGTGTGTGTGTGTGTGTGTGTGTGTGTGTGTGTGTGTGTGTGTGTGTGTGTGTGTGTGTGTGTGTGTGTGTGTGTGTGCGCGCGCCTGTGCGTTACCCCTGAGTGTTGACAAGCCTACAGTCTAATCTCAAGGGAAAGTGGAGGCAAATCCCTGTCCCAGAGGAGAGGGAGACGAGAATCACTAACATTTTACAGAGAAGAAGCTAAAAAATAACCCTCCTGGAGTGTCCTTCCCTACCCCCTCAGGCCCGGTGGATTCTTGCAAATGCCACTAGGAGCACTAGAACAAGCCAGAGGAACCTGTTTAATGTACTTCTGTCAGGATACAGTGAAAGAAGTAAAAGTACAAGTGCAGCCTTAAGACATATACAGATACTCTGCTTGGAAAATATTGTGAGTCCGAATATTCAAAAGTTGATGATTTTCTGAAATTCCTGCTGGGCACAATTTGCGTACTGGACTAGCCTTGACTTCCTAACTATTTGTGATGTCACAGATCATGCTGGTAGGCCCCGCCCGTTAAAATCAGATGTTCAATGAGCACAGAGAAACTTTCCACTTTCAGCAGATGAATGTGAAAACATCCTTCTAGTGTCAAACTGTGTAAGAAAAAGAAGAAGAAAAAAACTTTTTCAGAACAGGGGAGCTTTAAACTCCACTCTCCATATCATAGCTATTTCAGCATTAATCTCACAGCTCACTTCATAATACCTCATCAAAGCTGGACTTCTGTGAAAACGATTTAGCAACACTGTTCTAAAAATGAAATGTAATATTATTATAGACTTTTTAATTATTTGTTTTCCTGTGGCAGTGGTCAAATATGTTTTGTTAATGCAATTTAAATGCAGATTAATATTTGTACATTGTACAGATGGAATAGGAAAGCCCAAATTATAAAGTGAAAAATTTGATAAGGGCTCTACTGCTGCCAGTTTTAATTTAACAGCTTAATATTTCCTTTACAGGTAATCCAGCTCCAGCAGTGTACATTTAGCAGTCATTGGTTTTAATTATTTGTGGAACAAATGGCACCCATTTCAGCAATAATGTCAATATAATTTAAAAGAAATTGAACAATGTGCAGGGGAGGTTTGAAGCCAAAAATGGCTTCTGAAGATATCTCCTTTTTAAAAAAAAAAAAAGAAAAGCAGAGAAACTGTTCTCTCCTTTATTGGAGACAGAACTCTTGAGCACTTGCGTTTCTTGAAGAACATGTTGCTGACTATATGGAGCCATGAGATGAGTTTTCACACCGAAAAGGAAATTTATAGTACGATATGACTTCATTGATATTTGGAGGCTGGGGTGGGAGTGGGTGCCCAGGTAAGAAAACAGATGAAGAACCATTTGAATGAAATAGATCAAAATAAAATCAGAAATGAAAGAAATTTGAGAAATGACATTAAAATACTTTAGACTGTGTCAATGAATTTGAAAAATATTTGTGTAAAAGAAATCCAGTAGTGTACTATACCTATTATAAATAAAGGCAAATAATAATATGAAATACAATATATATGAAAAATATATTAAACTATATAGTGTTACGTATATATGCAGTATATGTAACTTACACTCTTATATATAATAATATAATAAATATATAATCAAGGATAAGGTGTGTGTTGTCAAGTGCTTGTTTACATGTGTATGTTGAAGTCAAATACTGGGTACCAGAGTAATTATAGTTTTGTATTTTTCATTTTATATACATATATATATATATAGTTCAGTTTAGTTTCAGTTTAATTTTTTTTAGTATTAGTGTTAGCTTTTTTTTAATTATAATATGGGGCAATTTGAAAATGTTTTTGAAATGGAATATCTTTTTCATAGGTATGTTTTCATTAGTGTACAATCACCTGAATATAGGAATCGTTGACACAGAAACAACTTAAGTGAATCTGACCTTAACGTGACATCTGCATTATCTACCTCATCTAGCACAACTTTGTTAATGCCAGTTAAATATGGTTTAGCACTGGTTTGATTGGAGCTGCTGTGTGATTGTGACATTTGATTTTGAAGTTGTACAAGAGCTGGGAAGGCTTTTTTTTAATTTTTTTTTTTTTTAAAGCTGCAGTTGGTATTTTTTTTTGTCATATTTGCTGAAACTTTCACTATATCCTGATAGTAGTACATGAGACAGATAATCAGTTGGGGTTTTTTGGTTTTTTTTTTTTTTTTTTTGTTTTTACAAGTAGCAAGGACTACAACCTGAATTTGACTGACTGATGTACTTACTTTAATTGATGTAACCCTGCATTGTCAAATTACAGTTACCATGTATCCTTGTATATCATCTCTATACTTTTAAGGACTGTATTGGGCTGAGTATCAGTTTTTATTTACCAGTACCAGTAGTGAGTAAAATCTGTTGATCATTTGAGGCTATAATGGTGCACCAACTGTATCCTCTCTTTCCTGGCCTTTTCTCTGCAGGAGGAACCTGACCAAGCTGTCTCTGATCTTCAGCCACATGCTTGCTGAAATCAAAGCCATCTTCCCCGGAGGACAGTTCCAGGGGGACACTTTCAGGATCACCAAAGCTGACGCCGCTGACTTCTGGAGGAAATTTTTTGGAGAAAAGTAAGATTCACCTCGTCTCAGCTTTCTTCTTTTGGCAGCTTTGAGTCGGCACTCCCCTCAATGCTGGATCTGTGAGAGGGAGAAGCTGCTTTCAGGATCTGTGCAATGTCAGTGTTTCCTGTTTGTTTTTGTTTTTTTATCTCCCAGATACTTTCGCTGCCTTGATGCTCTGAATATAACGACATGAGGAAGAGATGCTCCAATATTGGAGCAACTCCAAGACTATGTCAGACTGAGCACTGCTTACACACACACACACACGCCCAGCTGAGAGCAGCTGCTGTCTTTGACCTGTCTTTGTCTTACTAACATGCAGAGCTGAGACAAGGTCATGATCTCTGGTTGTGTGCCTATGCAGCCTCTCCAATTTACTCAGTCTACATTGTCTGTAAGCTTTGTGGGTACAAGCGAAGTATTTTGGGTTTACAGCTGTGTTTGGCAGATTCGTATGTTGTATTCCTTAAATGACAAAGACATTTGTTGCGGTTTGAAGGACTGGCTGGCAGATCTCACTAAATTTCAATCCATCACTTCTTTCCTCCCTTGCCAAGGACCATATGTGACACTTTATTTTGGCAAATAAAAGACAAACTTACAAGGTCTTTATCAGGGGGTTTAGAGCCCTCTTCCTACTGCATCACTGTTTTTGGATGTGATAGGAAGAGTATATTTCTATGTGTGATTTAAGACTGGCACAGGGCTCTGAATCTGAAACTGCTGTGAGTGTTAGCAGTGCTGTTTCAGTTTTTTTGTTTGATCTGCTTCATCGGACGCATTTTGCTACTAAAATAAAAGCACAGGAAGGGCCCTATAGTTATTTGCTGAATTCCCTAAGTAGGGGGACACTTTCTGCATTGCCTAAATGGATTCAGGATAATGGGAAAACACTTCAAAGTAGATTACAGGGAGTAAAGCGAAAGTCTCAGTTTTCTTTAAATGTGTCTGTTATCTAAAGCAAAAGAGGGCATTTAAAGTAAATGAAAGTCAACAAAACAAACAGAAATAATCGCACAAATACACAGAATGAGAGCTTTCTGATGTGTCAAACTTGAAGAGGTGCATGTAGGGGTAGTGTTGGGAAAGGAGCCCAGTTTGTATGAACGCTGTTGTGCAGCACATCATTATCCTAATGTACAACTGTTACGTTTATATATTGGTGCATGTTTCCAGCTGCTGCATAGAACACCTGACAGTGGTAGCTGGGATATTTCTATATTTATTCTATATATACACTCTACAAGTCTACACTACATTTTTAAGTTTTAAGTCAAACTTGAACTTTTCTTTAACTTAATGTTATGTTAAAAAACAGTAAGCTGTGATCCCAATTTTTCATTATTTGGGTGCTGAATATTCTGCAGTTTCGATGGCCATGAGCATTTCAATAATAATTTATTTAAAATGACAATGGCGGAGTTTCTTGATTTTCTGGTTCTGTTGATCCTTGCTGCCAACTTGTTTGGTACTTTTCAAACACTGTTGACTATATGAGATGCGTTACCTCTTTGGTATGCTCCAAGGAACCAACGGTGGCATACAAAAGGTTTCTATTTCTATTTTATCTATTTCTATTATTGGGACATCTTTGATGAAAGGATAGATCAGTTCTGTTCTAAAACAATAGGTACCCATATGAACACTGAAACAGGTTTTGCTTTCTGTAATTGACATTAAAATATCAGTTACTAACCCTTAATTTTACGTGATGGGGTTTAAGAAGAGGTTAAGACGGATTTCTATACTAATAAGACTGTAGCTTTGGAAGATACTGTTTGGCTAACTCAGCTTTCTGAAGCCTCACAGTGAACTATATATCACTTCCATTGAAAGCATTACGAGTTAATCTTTTAATCTCCAGTATAAACAGGAGGGGCATTACAGCAAGAAAAACCTGTTCCAGTGTCCATACTTGACTATTGTTCTAAGACGATGAAGATAAATTGTAAACCTATCCCTTAATATCTCTTGTAGTAATTAAAGCTGCAGTAGGTAATTATTAGAAAAATAACTCTTTGTCATTTCCTGGAACTTTCTATATATCCTGACAGTAGTACATGAGACAGATGATCTGTGAAAAAATCAGGTTCCTCTGGCTCCTTCTAGTGTTCATAATGGCATTTGCAAGAATCCACCGGGCCTGAATCAAAACAACCAATCAGAGCTAAGAAAGATAGTTGATTGTTGAATCTCATTCCCAGGGCGTCACATGTCTTTATGTCTTTCTTGGCTCTGATTGGTTGCCGTCATGGATTCATTAAAAATACAATTAGGAGCACTAGGAGGAGCCAGAGCTGATTTTTTGTCATGGATTATCTGTGATTATCTAGTGAAATATTCAGCAAATATGACAAAGTAATTTTTTATAAAGGTTACCTACTGAAGCTTTAAAGAAGTGGCCATTTACTCATTTCATAAAGTTGTAGATGAGTTGATTTAAATTAGGCCACAGAGAAAATGTGAAAAGACAATATTTCACAGGGCAAAGTCAAAGAACACTCATGGCTGTATTTGTACTTTAGGCAAATTGAAAATCTTCCCACCCGAGACAATGTGTTCCTTGCTGGAGCTGAAGTGGCTCTGCTCACCCTCCTCTGTGCTCGCAACCACTCCAAAGACTAATCTATTATAGATTATAACAAACCTCCGCCGGGTCAAGGGGAAAGAATGCATGCTCGTCATCCATCCTGCGAGAAGACTGTTTGAGAGAACCCTGCGAGAAGCTGCCAGAGGAGATCTGTTAAAAGAGTTTCCCTCCTCATAATTCTCCTCCCAGTCCAGGTCATACGGAATCATTCAATCACAGCTGTCCCACATTCAGCAGATTCAGCTTCAGTAAATGAGCTCACTCCTACCTGTCACATGATCTCTTTGGAATCAGTCAACTCTGTTTGTATGTGGTGTATTAATGCTGTGTAAATTATAGGTAACCAGCTACTTCCTAAAGTTTGCATATGCTATACTTGATACAGCAGCATGATAAATCATATCGTTCTATGTGTGTATGTGTGTGTGTGTGTTCCAGTAAGGTTGTGTCAGTCAGCAGTGGGTACGTGAGGCTAATGTATACAGGCAAGTGAATATTAAAGTTGTGGTCAGCCATGCGTCGAGCCAGAGAGTGATGTTACCGTCAGCACTGGCTTGTCTTTTTTTTTTTTTACAGCCTTGATTACTATCAAACGGGATTCTGCTCAACTATGAGGTCATGAATCATTCAAGTGTGGTGCATTCTCTCTCATTACTATCTCGCTGTCTTTTCCCTTCTGTCTCCCTCCCACTGTGCTCAGTTTCCTCCCCTCTAACTCTGGCTGTGCTGGTGTGGAAATGTGACGCTGGTAGCTCAGGAAGCTCTGTAATATCACCAGGTTCTGTCCGTTGTCTACCATCATCGTTGCCAAACGGCTTGCCTTGTAGCATACTGTGTGATTGATTTTAGGTGTAGCAGTTGCAGACTTCTGACCATGTCATTCCTCTGTTATTTAACATATATATATATATTTATATATATATATATATAACATGTTGCTTGTTCAAGCATGAGTTTTTCTGTTTCAATCTGTATTGTAACCAGAATGTGTATCAAAAATTATGAAGATGTTAATAAAAACTGGCACTGTAGTTATACTTGATCATACTTTGATTATAAAAATGTCAATGGATTTATGCTTAGCTCAGCTTGTACTAGGAAATTATGAAACCCTAAAAATTGCATCTGGTGATGAGCATTAAGACTTGTTTAGAAACTCAATATTTAGGACTTGAGACTAGGTCCTTGTGACTTCTTAAACAATGATCTGGTCCCACCTTAACGAGTTCAGTAAATCTGTGTTGCTGCCTAGTAGCAGTGCGTTTTAGTTTAGTACTTTTGTTGCAATAGAGGCTGTGTCAGGAAGTAAGATATGGTGGTGTGAGGTTTACTTCTTGGTGTTTGACAGCATCAGCAGAGTGTAAAGGCCACTGAGGCTGCTGATCACACTCACCACATGCATTCGGTAATTTGACATTTGGCAGAAATAACATCACCAAACAGATACTTTCGGTTCCTGTAGTCCTATCAAATCAAATCAAATCAAATCAAATGTCAGATTTTGTTGGTGAGATACTGATACAAACTGAGGAGGTTCACTTTAATGTGGAGAAAGTGTTTTTTGTCTAATCTAAAGCAGCTGTATGGGCAGAACTAAAGTTCAACCTTATCTTTTGAATTTTTGTTCAACAGAAACCCCTGCAGCGCATTTATCAAATGCACATAATATGAATAAAGATGCATTGTCTGACAAAACACTTTTAGTCTCGCAAGTTGCTCTACCTGTTCTTTTGCTGATTGGACTTGTTGCTCTGTTGCAGGACGATAGTGCCATGGAAAGTCTTCCGACAGTGCCTTCACGAAGTGCATCTCATCAGCTCGGGCCTGGAGGCCATGGCCCTCAAATCCACCATCGACCTCACCTGCAATGACTTCATTTCTGTGTTTGAGTTCGACATTTTCACACGCCTCTTTCAGGTTGGTCAAAATAAACCACATTTCAAACCTGTGAATAAGATTTTGACAAACTTTACTATTGGTTCATACTGTGTTCAAGTACAATAGGTTTTGGCATTTGCATACACTGCCTACTGCTACAGTAGTCTTCTTTTGCACATGTTGTCTTTGTGTTAAATTCTTCATCAAAAAAGAAGACTTCATGATCTGTTCCACTGTGGACTGCATTTTTGCTTCCCCAGGAAAAAAACATATGCTGCTAGAAATGACACCCTTCAGCATAATGATGGGCATGGCATTTTATTTGTAATCTGTCATGGGGGGATGCTGTTTCATACTGGAGTAATATTTTCCAAGAGGAACGGAAAACGTGAAAAAAGAAGGATGCTGGTGGTGTTGTCATTACGTGTTGACAAGCAGTGCACTTGCAGGTGTACCTAAGCAGCTCAAAGCCATCAAATGTCATGTCAGTGATGATTAATCATAACCTCCTCTAATGAAAAATACAGGGCATAGCACCAACTGTTTTACAATAAGCTTATAAGCATACATAACAGATTTAGGGCTGCACACCTAATCAAAATATTGCAGTATGGCCAAGTGCAATATGCAAATCACAGAAGCTGCAGTTGTTTGGTAAAGGTCATATATGAGACAAACAGCATTATAATGAAGTACTATAGAGCTGCAGAGATGCCCAGACATACAAACCTTGTTCTCCAGATGTAAGAAAACATGTTTGTTTGTAGAGACCACAACAAATCACATCACACCATAATGATTTTAATCGTATTTTCAGTGACCTTTCGTGGCCAAAAATGATCATTCCAATCATCAGTCAAAATCATCACAATATTTTTTCTGACCTTATCGTGCAGCCCTTATCAGATTCTATTTACACACATTTCCTACATTAAAAAACACACAAAAAAAACATTTAAAGGAGAGTGTTTAAGAGGCCACCTGAACAGCATTATATGACTTTTCTCCTTATTTTGACTCTTTAAACCTTTTGATTGTACTTCTCTAACATGTGAAAGTACTCATAACACAATATACAACACAATAGCTTCCATACACAGAGGTGATAAAAGAGGTGTCCAGTGTTTTGAATGTTTTCCATTGAATCAACACCAACCCTTGTGCCAATATCAGTCTGTGCACTGAAGTGCAAATTTTCTAGGTGCTACTCAACATCCTCAGTCTTGTAAAATCTCCTTGTTACAAATATGAGAAAATGTTTTGGAATGCTCTGAATGTGATGCAGAGTGGCTTCATCTTGATGAGCATATCGTATCAGATCCTGGGATCATCTTAGCTAGTTTACTTTTGCTGAAATGTAGTCTATGTAATAGTTTAAACTGTAATAAAGCATTTCTAAAGCATGTGTTTTTAATGCAGATTCCACACTGTCTCTGATTTCAGTATTTAGCCGTCTTTGGCCCACTGCTCCCTAAGGTAATTCAGAGGAGACACCATTTCTTTAACCGAACTGAATAATCTAGATACAGCTGCATTGACAGGATAAAAACCTTATTTAAGGGTTTGATAAAGTAAATCAACAGCATATGAGCAAAAGAGATGTAGGAAATATTTGTTCTGTTTGATGTTTTTGGGTATATTTTGTGCTTGTTTGAGGTTTTTGGATGTGTGTGGTTTTCGATCCCTCCTGTTGACACATTACTGGCCATATGGCTTCAAGATGGCGTGTGGGCGGTGAGGACTTAAAGCCATGTTTCACTTTGGCAGAACCTTTGTACTTTGCATGCTCACTCTGAACATGAAAAACGAGACTGTGACAAATGATTGCGTCAGGATCAGTGTCACAATAGCTGTGTTTTTATCAAATTATCAAGCAATCAAGATGACTTTTCATGAACTTGGGTTGGTCAGAATGCTTAATAGTGCAAAAAGGTTTACTGAAGCAAATGTGGTCGTGGGCAGGAGTTGCCATTGACTGACTGTGTCCTGGGAAGCCACTTCCAGGTTGGTGTAACCTGTGTGTCAGTGGAGGCTGTCCCCTGTGGTCAACCTCATGGTCCTGTCCTGGTTGTTTCACTGGTTGGGAATGCGGGAGGGAGGCAGGGGAGGGATCAGATGGCCCACATAAAAGTGAGTATCACTGGGTGAACAAAGGAGGAGAATGTGCTAAATGTGGTGGTTGATCATGGTAATGTTACACCGTAATTCCTTCAGGACAAACATGACCAAAATGTTGTTGGGTGGATCAGGTCTGGAAATTTTTTCACAGATTATCTGTCTCATGTGAAAGTTGTTTTTATAAAAATGACCTACTGCAGCTTTAAATTGAGACTGTTTTATTACTGGTTTAAAAACTTAAAGCACATTTATGAAGAACCAAATGAGAGGAGAATATTTTACTTGCTTTCCAGTCTGTGTCCTACTCAGTACTTGTGTCAGGAGTGTTTTTTAATTTCCCATTTGGCTGTCTCCTGCCGCTTTGGGCCGGCCCAATCTCCATTTTTTCAGCTCAAATCAACAAACTCACAGAGTGGTTAGAGCTTGCTCCATTACCATTTCAGCCCAAAGCCCAGTAATTCAAGTATGCAGGAGCTTTTTTTTAAATTTCTCCTGCCAACAAGCTGCACAGTGAGCGTAGCAGATCATTGTCCCTGGTGAGCTCCAGCTAACAGGCAGGATGGAGGTGGATGTTGTGGCCCTTGGCACCACATGGAGCCAATTGGAAGACCCATTGAAAGACTTCCAAACACACTGCCCCACAGCTTTATGCCATTAATTCAAGGATCTGATTAAAAAAACTAACTGTATCTGTCATTGTCATTGTTATTTTTGTTTCAAAGGGATATGTGTACATCATTTCTGGATCCAAAAGAAAAGCAGCAAGTGTGGCAGGAAAGGAAAACACCCACGCACTTGAGCCAACCTTTCATTTAATTTAGAGTCTGCATCTTTTAAAGACACAGATTTTTTGATTTCTCCTGACTTAATGCTTTGCACTCAGATGTCAAGGTCTTCTATATCTTTATGTAATGTAACATAAAGCACATAATTTATTAAGCCTTTATTGTTGAGCAATAAACAGTAATGTTAGCTAGTTCGCTTCCACATCAAATGTTTAGGCATCTGTGTAACTCTGTCCTGCAGAAAACCTCAAACTAGTTGTAAACAAAGCCAAATACAACTGGCTGCAGTGCACAGGCTGCTTCCCAAACGCCTATTCCTCATGCTGGACAGATATCAGAAACCTCTGCCTCTGCATTCTCTCTTATTCGGTTTGTTGCTTGCTATTTTGAGCCAGAGAATTCACATTCAGCCAAGTCAACACACTACTTATCACTTATTTGTGGCAGACGCACTGACTCAACAGAACTTTATATTGAAAATCTGAAGAATAAATGTACAATTCATAATAATCTGTCTCAGTTAAAATAACATTGGGTGGTCTTTTTCAGCCATGGGGATCAATTCTGAGGAACTGGAATTTCCTGGCAGTGACACACCCTGGCTACATGGCCTTCCTCACCTATGATGAAGTCAAGGCCCGACTGCACAAGTACATCAATAAGCCTGGCAGGTATGATAACTGTGTTGGTATTATAAAGTTCCAGTCTGTAGGATTTAGTCACATCTAACAATATAGTCTTAGATTGCAGCTCCCTCACTTCACCCACCCCTTCATGTAGGAGAAACTACAGTGGCAGTGAAACACTCAAAATAGACTGTGTGTAGAGCCAGTGTTTGATTTGTTCTATTTGGGCTACTGGTGGGAGGACCCTATGAAAGTGAACAAAAACATTTCCTATATTGAGGCAATTATACACCAATGAAAACATACCTATGAATATTATATTCCATTTCTGCCAATACATCCTCCTAAATGTTACACACTGGACCTTTAAGTATCTAAAAACTTGATTTCAAATATTTTCTTTACTCTATAACGTAACATATTCATGACTAAATGGGGGGTTAGAAAAGAGAGATTCCTAGTTATTCTTTTATTAAAGGTATAGGAAAGTTAATTTAGCATAGTTTTTTCCAGATCTATATGTTGGTACCCATGTGAAAGAAAACATCAAATATTTCTCACGGAGGTCCAGACGCCAGGATGGTATAGGTGTTATAATTAGATGCAAATAGGATCAAGAGGACTGTGGAAACAACAAAGCCACGTGTGTAGGTTGCTATAGCAACATCCTAACATGGCAGTGTAATGGTGTAAATGGTGTTCGACTAAGATAAGCTCCTGCCGACCAGAACAGAGCAGACTGTACACACTCATAGCTGTATGTTGTTTTCTACTTGTTTCCTTATTTTCCTCTGGATCTCATAAATAGAGTGGTTATCTGCTTATCGTGTGTTTTGAGGTGGGAAATTAAGTGATTAAAACCTTCTGCACAACCCCGCTCAGTGCACAGCAGACACCCAAGCAGAGCTGTCTCAACACACCACAAACGCAATAATGGAGGAGGCACATACAGAAGCCGTTCTTTCTTTGATAACGTAAATACGCCTTCAGTCCCTTCAATGTTCGGAAGGACTGTATTGGTATGGTTTTATCAGAGTTCATGAACAGTGCTGTCATAGGAAAGGAGCTTTAAATTCAAATGAGGGGTGGACTGTGATATCCTTCCACTGCCTCTTTGACAAGCAAATGAGTTTACCCTTGACTTATCTGAACCCCTCCTCGCCTGGTCACCTGCTGCTTCCCTGTTGTTATCTGTGTGGCGACGTACAGCCGGGTCTGAAAGTCAACGTGCTGTTGCACGATCCAATTTTCATGGATATAACCATTGATCTGCTCGGCCTGCACGTATGCTCATGAATATTTAAGATGCTAGTTGCCATAGCGAACAGCCTTACCGCTCCGGCTAAAAGGCGGCGCATATCAGTCCAAAATAAAGAATGTTTAGGAATTTCCATTTAGGATTATGTGTGTCATAATCGGGTCATGCTTTGCTGTCACACCTCTGAGTCTCAGTCTTACCAAAGTTCCTTATTACTGTCGCATATATTCATAAAACATGGCATATCTTTGTTTCGGAGCTTATGATAGCAGCAGGGTATATGTTTGATCCTGTAACACGCAGCAAGAATCAGTTTCAGTGAAGGGAATCCAGCAGGAGTATTAGAGACTTTCATATAGAGAGGCTATTTAAAATGCAAGAAGTAATTTCAGAGTTTCTACGCCTTTTATGGGGGAGAAAAATCCGTTCAGACAAGTATTAAGGCATATACAAATACTCTGTTATATATGTTTTTTCCAGAAAAATGAATCTACTCCTACCTCATTAAAACTTCCAGAATCTCTGAATATACAAATGTTAATTTCTAAAGTTTTGCTGATGGACACAAGATGTCTCCTACTTCACTGTAAAGTCCATTCTCAGTGGATGTGCACTGGTGGCTTCAAGTTTCTACATCACACTGTACAAGTTGATACTGGACCAGGATGAACTTCCAAACTATTTGTGATGTCACAGATCATGCTGGTAGGCTCCGCCCCTTAAAAATCAGATTTTCAATGAGCACAGAGAAACTTTCCTCTTTCAGCAGATGAATGTGAAAACATCCTTCTAGTGTCAAACTCTGCACAGACAGCATTCAAACAGCACACTGTAGGGACAAGAAGAACAACAAATGTTGAACTTTTTTTATATTTATCCTTCTCCACAGTCCATCATTTTACTTTTAGCAGATGATTATGGCTTTTAAAATATAGATTAAATGCCCATAGTATCACACTGCTATTGTAACAATGAGGACATAAGTAGATGTAGTCCGCAAACAGCATGTGCTCCTCTGTCAGCCTGGCAACTCAAAACTAATCTGCATCATTGCATCCTCATAGAAAATAATAGACACCATTTGCCGCAGAATATTGTGTGACCACTGTGTGTGTGTGTGTGTGTGTGTGTGTGTGTGTGTGTGTGTGTGTGTGTGTGTGTGTGTGTGTGTGTGTGTGTGTGTGTGTGTGTGTGTGTGTGTGTGTGTGTGTGTGTGTGTGTGTGTGTGTGTGTGTGTGTGTGTAGTAGCAGCATACACACTGGTTTCTGAAATGAATGCTGAAAGTTGTGTTTGGTGTTGTGCCAATTTTGAGGGTTTTTTCCCTCCACGTGGCAAGTTCCTGGCATTGGGGGGGAGAAAGTAGCTAGAGAAAATACCTTTAACAACAGTGCTAATTTATTGCCAGAAACTTGTGCAGCCTTAAGCTGAGCCATGCATGCCCTGTGATTAGCTGGTCTTGCGTGGCGGCATAGTAGAGCGGAGCAGATAATGACAGGACAGGAAGTGTGTATGTGTGTGTATGTGTTTGTGCGTGTGTGTGTGTGTGTGTGTGTGTGTGTGTATTCAGTGTGGAAGGTGCTAGTGTGTCTGAGTATGCAAATGTATAGGGTACTGATCACAGAGTGAATCATGCAAATACCATTGTTATGAACCAGCACTGGAACAAACACACACACACACACAGCTGTGTGGGGGAGGGCAGTCGTATTGGATGAGACGCTACATGTTACCACTTCAGCTCACTCAGACACACACTCAAGCACACAAACATGCCCACACGCACACTTCTGTGCATGCACTTGGGATAAGTAAAATCTTACAGATTGATGAAAAGTCAGCCCACGTTGTATTGATCATATCTAAATTCAAAATTAACATCAAGAAAGCAGAAAGTGATAATTGCTTTAATGCATGTGTGACTGTTGAAGCGTTTCACGATCATGCACACACAGGTATACGTTCTGTCCTTCCAATCAGATGCGAAACAGCTCATTAGCATCAGGGGAGCAGTCTCAAGCTCTCAAACTGTCTTCCCACGTCTCTTCTCGGTCAAAGCCCTGGTGGTTTAGCATGGTGCCTTTGTTGCTGGTGGAGATGGGATCATACTGTGGTCAGGGCTAGCTTTTAGCCCAGTACTCATGCTGGACTGCATGTATAATACCTCCTCTTTCTCTTTTCTTACGTCTTTTTCACATTTAGATTGTTCCACCTTTGTGCTGAGCTGTTGCCTTTGTATTCAGCTGCACAAGGAAATCCTTCTGTGATAAGGCTTGAACGACTAGGCAGAGGCACCATTGTTTGTTGCAGTTTAGTTTTATACAAAAGACAGGGGTAGAATCTTCATATTTCAGTGTAGAAAAGACATTGTTTTTTTGTTTTATTTTTTGTTATAGTCTGTGAGTTGTAATCATCTCATCTGTTCCATCCTCCATTGGTCACTCAGGTGTCATTGATCACATCAGGTCTGTACAACTGATTGATGAGGCTATTAGCATTAAAGCTGCAGTAGGTAACTTTTATAGAAATTATTCAACAATCAACCATCTGTAATTTCATAAAAATACATATTTTTGTAAAAGTTACCTACTGCAACTTTAATTCCAGGGATAGGCTAGCCATGGTTGCTTATAAAATTACCCCACAAAGAGACGAACGAAAATGTCTGAAATAAGGCCAATCTGAACGAAAATGTATTTTATTTACAAAGGTTATTAGAAGAATGAGTTTTATTAAATATATAAAGATTGAATATAATTTAAACCCATACAGTTGTCATGAATGGGGAAATTAGCTGTAGAGACCAAAACTTGTACCAAGCTGTAACCATGTTTATTTATGTTGTAAAGTTGGGCATTTTAATATGGGGCCTTATGAGGATAGAATAGTTTTGGGAGAAGGCCTCAAGTGGCCATTGGAGGAACTGCAGTTTTTGTTACTTCCGCATTGGCCTCATTTTATTATGTTTGGCATCACTTTAAGTCCCTGCAGGGACTGATCTGGAGCTTGATTTATCCTCCCCTTTTTTCTTCTTAAACCACCAAAAGCCTTTTTCAATCAAGAGTGTGCCCTCTGCATCTGGCTTCCTTTGATACAGTGTCTCCAACACACACAGACAGTTAGTAGTAGCAGAAGTTACGGTGGTATGACTGCAGTGTGTGTGAGGGAATTGATCTTTTGTGTGTCAGTGCACTCATCGTGAGGTCCGTTGATAGTTGCTTTTGTGTTTTCAGTCCAGCAGAAGTGGCTTTTCAGTCACACCGCATACCAAGGGTGTGATTGAAAAGATTAGAGCTTGCCTTATTTGTCACAGCTCTTGAGACAGTGGTTGAAGTGCAGCTCAGCCGGTCTGCTGTGTATACTTGTGAAGATTAACCACACTGAATCTTACTGAGGCACTATGTATTTGCTTTTAGGATCTTTGAGAAGAGTGCCTGGATACAAAACTGAGTGAGAATGTTTCAGCTGATTGCTTACTTGCTTAGCATACATTATGTTGAGTGACAGAAGGATCACTAGCATACGTTACTGTATATTGAGTGATAACAGGCCATAAACAGTAGCAAATGATAACTTGAACTTCTAGGCTGAATATTGAGCAGTCGTATGATGCTGCATATGAATAAGTAAAAAACATCTGTCAGATAAAATGAATACGCTATTTTGAACTAGTTTTACATTTTTATATTATTAGTAGTAGGAGACTGTACAGGTAAAAGTCACTATGCATTGGATAAATATGATAATATAAAATAAATAAATATACGTTTTTTTTCTAGTCTAGTCTAGTTTTTATTTTATTTCATGAACTAAAGAAATATTTTTCCCACCTAGTTTTAGTTTTTAGTTTAGTTTTCGTTCACTCTAATAACCTTGGCAAAGCAGTTATGAAGAATACAAGGAATAAAGGTTCCACAGCAAAAAAATACCAGAGAAAAAGGAATATACATGTGTAATCATAAAACAGGCTATAAATACTGTGGTGTTGGCACTAGTTTATGTGTGTTATGGTGTGTGTAGTTGTACATGTAAAAAAACACCTTTTCAAGTAATTAAAAAAAAAAAAAAACATTTCACACAAACAAATTATAATCATATGATCAGATAGGATTGAGCTTAAAGTTGATTTAAGTAATACTAGTTGATTAACTTTACATTTGACATAGATAAGATGATATAACATTTATATTTTTTGTGTTTTTTGTTAAGTGTGATGTTAGTAATGTAAATATTTCCAGAATATTGCTCTTTCTTGTAGTACTTGAACACTGAAGTGGCCCTCCTATGAAACACTGACAATATCAGCAGTGGCCCCAAGACAGTTTGAGTTGAGAACACTGTATTGTATTGTAAATCTTGTGTGATTTTTGTGTGATTTGTATATTTTGGTGTGATTTGTATATTTTATGCACCAATGCACCAAGACAAATTCCTCGTATGTGTAAAACCTACCTGGCAATGAACCTAACCCTATTTCTGATTCTGTATTAGAGTGATACAATGCCACAGGAAGCTTGACATGACAAAATGTTGTATTGCTTCCACATCGTTATTGAAAGTTTGTAAAACATGTTTTGTTTTCCAGTTTGTGTGTGAACCGTGCACTTGTGTCCCCTCTCTCTCTGACAGTTACATCTTCAGACTCAGTTGTACCCGACTGGGCCAGTGGGCCATTGGCTATGTGACCAGCGATGGCAACATCCTGCAGACCATCCCCCACAACAAACCGCTGTTCCAGGCCCTCATCGATGGCTACAGGGAGGGCTTGTATGTAACCTCAAACACTCACACACTCTCTCTCTCTAGCTCACTCTCTCTTTGTATGTTTGTAAAATCTCCTCTGCATACACACTGTATGCAAATGAGAAATGATCAACCGTGTCTCAATCAGTCACATCTGATTTTAAGTCTTTGAATGTCTTGGCAGACCAGAGCGAGGTGCCTGAAGGCGTAACTCTTCTCTTAAAGCTACTTCTTCCTCAGCGTCAACCATCTGCTTCTATCATACCTGATAATCTGACAGGCCCCCAGACAAATCAGACACGCTTCCCTCCGTTTAGCGTGTGGCATCTCGCTTCCCTCAGCCGTCAATCACGGCCAGCCGAGGAACGCCGCTTCTTTCTTACAAGTCCACTGTAGCTGGAGAGCGGTGTGGTGGAGGAGGAGGAGGAAGAGGAGGGGGGATCCTGTTTGAAGCACCTCTGTTTTTGATCAGGCAGGAGACCCCAGCAGCTGTGGGGGGTAGTTGAGCTCCCATCAGTCGCTCTTTCAAACATCAGTTATCGTGGTTACACCCGGATCGAAACTGACTTTAAATAGAGTTTCTGCTAAGCTGTATAATAATTGCTGATGGCTATATATGACTTTTTATTCCATGCAGGGAAAGATATCACTAGCTCATATTAGGTTTTTAATTTAATCTTAACTTTAGTTATTTATTTAAGAACTTTTTTGTGTCAATCAGAAATCAGGATCGATTAACGTCTCTTTAAAAGAAAACGTTTTTTTTCACATGGCAATTATTTAGACAGATATTACCATTGCAATATGATTAGGAGGAATAATGGATGATCATTTTTGCATCACAGTTCTGTAGGCCAGGACATCTCTGCAGCACCACAGTACTTCATTATAATGCTGTTTATCACACATATTACAATTATCAAAAAGTTGCAGCTTCCACGATTTGCATATTGTCATTTTGATAATATTTCCATTAATTGTGCAGCCCTGATATTTCTGGTTCATCACATTTTTGCACAGTCGCATGTTGTAGAATATTATAGATAAAACAAAATGAAATCCCTAATGTGCAGTTAGTGAAATGTGCACATGATAACATTTGAGAGGACAAATAAAACATGACATATTCTGAGCAAATATCTCACTGTGTGCTCGTTTAAAAGTTTTCTTTTGTCAATTGCAGCTACTTGTACCCCGATGGTCGCAGTTACAATCCTGACCTCACCGGTCTGTGTGAGCCAACGCCTCATGATCACATCAAAGTGACACAAGTGGGTTTGTGTGTGTGTTTGAAAGCATGTCTCATCTGGATAGTTAGCTGCACAGAGCCACAATACATCATATAAACTGTCAGTATGGAAAATGTTTACTGAGAACTGACTGAACCTGAACAAATATGTGTCAGACCGCTGCACCTTGTGGAAGAAAACGCTCAACTTTGGGTGTAAAGGTTATCAGAGTGGGATGGTAAGTCAGAAAAATATAAAGTAAAAATCCAGCAGCAAACGCCTGCCATCACCAAGTATTGTTTTGTATTTACATCTGGAGAAAATGCGTTGCACAGCTGCTCACATGGACAGTCAATGAACAGCGTGAAAATGACTCATCCTGTGGATACTTACCGTAACTCCTGCAACTCCGGTAAATGACCTCTGGGCAGAGTTTGGATCTGTCATTAAAAACGCATGTGGTCTGAACTTTACACATGGTAGCTAAATATAAGTGATATAAAAGCAATGAAGACATATTTTCCTTCATATCTTTTGTACTTTTTTGCCAATATAGACATAAAATAGGTCTTAAATTGCATTCATAATAGTCTTAAAAAGGTCTTAAAACCTGCAGTAACCCTGATACATATACACTGTTTGTCATTTGATTTGTTTTATTGAGATTTTACTGTAACTTTTGATAACATTAACCAATATTATCGAATAGCTCAGAATTTTGGAAGTCCCTGTAAATATCATTGAATGTACCATTATGGCCACAGTGGGCAGCTTGTACTGTGTGTATGCTGAATGTGTGTCTCATGTCTGATATGTGCACCACTTGATGACTAACAGGCGTTTGCTCTGCCTGAACAGGAGCAGTATGAGCTTTACTGCGAAATGGGCTCCACCTTCCAGCTGTGTAAGATCTGCGCCGAGAACGACAAAGACGTCAAGATCGAACCCTGCGGTCACCTAATGTGCACTTCCTGTCTTACTGCCTGGCAGGTATCGTAATGAACCAATACTGCACATACTCATTCCGAGATCATAACTTTGAACAGAGAGGGTGAATCTGTGGTTCTCCAGTTGCTGTCACCATTTATGCATGTACATGGGACATTGTGGGTACTGCCAGAATCTTCATCATCACATTGTCTTTGTCTTTTTGTGCAATATTCTGTCCAGCTTTGCGGAAAAAGACCAAAACCTCACACGTTAACTTCTTCAACACTGCCAACAGCGTATTTTTAGATTTATATGTAGGAATTAATCTGGTTTGAGATTAATAAGCATCAGCATATAAGTGAAACCACTACTGAATAATAGAAGCAGCTTTCAGCCTCCAATGCAAGACACATGGTTAAAAATCTCTCCCTCCCTCCCTCACTTCCTCCCTGTGTCCTTGCATCTGTCCTAATCAAATTTCCACATATCTGTCAGTAGCGGAAGTGAAAGCTGAGAGTGTGTGCACACAGTATATTCCAGTGTTTCCGTGTGTTTCTCTCCTTCCTGCTGTGTGTTATTTTTTTCTAATGTGCGCATCCCACAGCACACTGTCCTGCTGTGTCCATTGTGCTCGTGCAGTGTATCAGAAGCCCTGCCAGCAAAGTGTGTTAGTAATTACATTCCCCTAATGAGTCAGCATCAAGTCTCCCTCCTCTCCTACCGCTCTCTCTCTCCGCCTCCATATTTCATACCCTCCCACCTCTGCGTGGGACATCTGTGTTGCAGTCAAAGGAAGGCGGCTCTCCTGTACGAGTTCTGCACTGACCTCGGTGTTATTGATCTCTGGCAGGGGACACACATTCACTCTGCAGACCTGGACACAAGCCCAAAAACCTGTCTTGCAATCACAATTCTTTATCAAGGTTATTTTTTGAGTTGGCTGAGAGTATGTTTGTTCTAACTCTCAGAGAGCAAAGTGTCAAAGTCTTATATATAATATTTGAATTGTTCAATAGGCAGGCAAAAGCTGTCACTGGAGTCATTCCGTTTTCAGACTTAAAACCATTATGTGTATTATAGTTTGATATTTTTACATAAATGAACCCAATGCTTTAGATGTTTGGCAGAGAAGCTTTTGCGAGGGAGGACATGGAAGATGATTCAGAGGACAATAAGTGCAGGTTTTATACATGAAGCTGAGTGCACTTTGTTTTTTAGTCACTCAGTGCTGTAATTGTTTCCATTTATCATGAGCCTTTTGTTTGTCAGAGCAATTGAATGAAAAAATTGAACGCATTTTATACCATGAAGACTTATTCAAATTCATGGCTTTTAATGTTTTGCTCACCAAAGGGAGGGTTACGATAATAAGAAGCTTCTGTGACAATGCAGCCAGTCTGTGTACTGTTAGAGGAAGTTAATCTCTGCAGTATTTTTGTAGACTTCAAAAAACGAAAATCATACCAAAATCTTTTGGGATATCTGCCCACAGATCAAATGATTTTGTCACAGTTATCACAACAAAGAAATAATGAATTCCTACAGGGGCAGCAGATTGTTTCTTAAATGGGCATCTATGGTCCACAGAATGTAAGTCTGAGAATGCTTTACATCACTGATATGTGTACATTAGGGGTTATTTCTGCAGTTGCCAATTTTATTTAAAAAATATCAACATATTGAGTCAGCTGTAACACCTGAAACATCAGGTGTTGAGGGGGTGAAAACTAGCTAGTTATTAAGTGAATAGAGAAGTCTAAAAAGTAAAACTAAACTGTATATTACTGTATATATTAAATGATACATATTGTCATAATATCTATATTTTATATAGTCAGTAGTGTTAAATAACATCCTGTTTAAATGAACACATTTGGAACATGATTGGTGGTGTCGATCGGTTAGTTCATCTGACAGGACTGTCTACCCAGATTTAGGCTTTTTGAGAACCAGAGTTTTTGGTTTGATGCTCTGTTCTCAAGAGTTTTCATTTCATGGCTACAAAGCTGGAAAGCTTTTTCTTGGTTGGTTTCACTGTGAACACAGCTGTAGGTTTAGCGAGTGAGGCGAGTTGTTCCAGAGCTAAGTTCCATGCTCTGTAAACGGCAGGATTCAGCACCCACACGAACCATGTTTGTTTGTCATACTTCCTGTTATGACAACCGTGACCCCGCCTCCTCCACAACCTTAGCCAGTGAATCAGTGACGTGTGTGTGTGTGTGTGTGTGTGTGTGTGTGTGTGTGTGTGTGTGTGTGTGTGTGTGTGTGTGTGTGTGTGTGTGTGTGTGTGTGTGTGTGTGTGTGTTTGTGTGTTTGTGTGTGTGTGTGTGTGTGTGTTTGTGTGTGTGTGTGTGTGTGTGTGTGTGTGTGTGTGTGTGTGTTTGTCTGTGTGTGTGTGTGTGTGTGTGTGTGTGTGTGTGTGTGTGTGTGTGTGTGTGTGTGTGTGTGTGTGTGTGTGTGTGTGTGTGTGTGTGTGTGTGTGTTTGTCTGAGTGTGAGTGTGTGTGTGTGTGTGTGTGTGTGTGTGTGTGTGTGTGTGTGTGTGTGTGTGTGTGTGTGTGTGTGTGTGTGTGTTTGTGTGTGTATGTATTTATGTGTGCTTCGGTAATGAAGTATTTTCCTTCACATTAGTGAAATAGTGAGTCAGACAGTGAGAGGGAACCCTCCTACCTTGTGACAGTGAGTAACCCAGCACCAGTCTGTTCAGGTCATTGACTACGTGGTGGTTCCCTGACTTTCCTCTCACTCTGTATATTAGTCAGCTGGGGTGGAACAGATGTTGACTCCTCACTCACAGTTGGCTGATGATCTATGTAATTCCACATCCTGTTCTCTTCAGCGACCATTTTTGATATGGGGGCACATGAGAGGGTTCCCTTGTTCTAGCTATTAGTTTTATTCTATAACAATCCAGGGAGTGATTCAAAGGGGATTTTAGTAACTGTTTCGTTGCACAAAGTGTAAAGTCAACCTCGTCTGAAGTGATGCAAACTGTTTTTTGTTTTTTTGAGACAGCATGATTTTAACTTTCTTCTTTTTCTTTTAGGCATATATTTGGTGACTTTCAGATCAAAATACATTTAGGCAAAAAGGTTAAAACTGGTAAACCCAACCTAAAATTTGGTTTAAAAGTTGAAAGCTCCTCCAATCAATATTTTTAACTATAGATAAAATTACTATGTTGGAGGCATGTTTGGGTCACGTCTAGGAAGCACACTCCCTCATACATATCAGGTCAATGAAAATGTCCAAACTTTAAGCTCAGTGGGTAGAGCTGGCGACCCATGTACCAAGGCTGAGTCGTTGCTGCAGCGGCCCGGGGTTCGAATCTGACCTGCAGCCCTTTGTTGCGTGTCATTCCCTCTCTCTGCCCCCCTTTCATGTCTGTCTTCAGCTGTCACTATCAAAAAAAAAGGTCATACTGCAACAGTATAATGGCAATAAACCATTTTAGCCTCCATAATCACTGCTCCTCCTGGTGGATAGATAAAGCATTGCAACTGCATTCGCATACTATCACATTACCAACCAAGTGGGACCCAGTATAGATCAGGCATAGGTCAGCTTTGGACCCGCCAAAGTTCAAATTGCTGCTACTGCATAATGTGAAAGGTGTCACAGGGGTCACACACATATATTGTTCGTAATTTATTTACAGTCAAACTGATCAGTATTTGTATACTAACTACTAAATGACTGTAATGAGTAAAGGTGCTGCAGCAGTGGAAAATATGACATTAATATTAACATTAACTCATGTAAACCTATTCTAGTAGACACCCAAATACAAATATGAACCTAAAATTGAGCATAATATGGCCCCTTTTAACAAAAAACATATTCATTTAAATGCTGTTGAAACCATGTTTATTTTTAAACTAGACATCTCAAAAACCTTCACTCCTTAACCAACATTTGCCCAGTTTTAACCTTGACATTTAGACTTCTGCAAATCTCTAAATCAATGTGTGAAGGGTGAGTTTATCAACACCTTGTTTTTGAGCTGAAGTGCTATTTTTCTATTTCAGAGCAGAAGTAAAATTGGGAAGGTTTTCTACCCTTCAACATGGCATGCTTTCAGAAGCAGTTGTTTTAGTTTGTCACTTCAGTCCTGCCCGTATCCAAATAGTATGATTTCCTCAGTCTCCTTGACCATCACACCGTCTCCTACCCCATCTGGGCTCCCTTCTTTTTAACCTCCCACTCCTTCCCTTCTCGGCCCACTCTCATTAGGATTAAGTTTCAAACATGCCTTTGGTGCATGCCCTGCCAAGTCCCCAACCATATGGCCACCACAAATGCAGCTTTGTTCTCTGTAAATATTGTCTGCCTTTGATTGTAGCCCCAGAGTCAGCAGAGAGAGATGCACTGAAAACCAAAACCTCTTTTATTCTCCCATTTATGACCCCTGTTTGACAGGGGCTGCCATGTGGAATATGTACATGTGGCCAATGTGGTAAAGTTGCAAAACAGTTTCCCCCGGAGAGGATCTACACATGCATATGTCCAGTCGACTTTGTCAAGTCCTTTTATGAAAGGGGGGAAGAGAGAGTAAGATATAGGGTAGTAGTGAAGCATATAACCTTAACCATGTGTATCCCAGCTATGTGCTGCAACAGCCTTCCTGCTCCATGGTCCAAGTGCTAGCTCTTGTTCCCAAAACACTACAGTAACAAAACCATGCTCGTCACATCATTAGATTTAGAAATGTCAGAGGGTTACAAATGTCATCGCCGCACCTGTGTCTGTGTACATAAAATATCCTGTTTCATGCAAACTCTTTCCTTTATCTGTTCCAGGAATCGGATGGTCAGGGCTGTCCGTTCTGTCGTTGTGAGATCAAAGGCACAGAGCCCATAATTGTGGATCCCTTTGACCCCCGAAATGAGGGCGCCAAGTGCTTCTTCCTGGACCAGCACAGCTGCCCCATGCTGGAGCTGGATGATGAGGAAGACCGAGAGGACTGCCTGGTCATGAATGGACTGGCCAACATCAGGAAGGTGAAGACTTGTAGGGCTAGCTGGTAGCTGATTTACTGATGAGTAGGTGAAAGGATTTAGAGAGGTCTAAATTTGCCTTTTCTTTTAGTTGTTTGAAATAGTCCACTAACCTGACTGCGCCAGATGGTTTGTTACATAGAACCATTTGGGAGGTCTTCATTGGAAACTGTTTTGGAAAAGGGCAGGCACAAAAATACTTGGAAGGTGATTGGTGTACCATCTTTTCGCTCAAGAAAAGCCTTCAGTGCCGTTATTTGCTCTTCTCCAACTAATGCTAGCAGCATCTACGCTAACCTCTTTAGCAGCCGCCATTGTTGTAATAGAGCAAACAGTCACTTTTTACACACTCCTTGTGTTAAACCAAACCTGACAAGATGGATTCTCATGTGATCTTATCCAGAGTCTGGGTCCATATTTATCAAGCAAAAAGGAATTACTCTTATAAATGCTTTACAGAGCCAGCGCAGCAGTAAAAATAGTGCTTCCCCACCTTTATATGACACATGTGAGTTACTCCTACTTACAGTACGGTGAACCTTTAACAGCAACTCTCAAGTGATCACATCATGAATAACCAATGGCTTTACCAGGATTGACTTTCTGACTATTTGTGATGTCACAAATCATCCTCTTAGGCCCTGCCCCTTAAAATCTGATTTTCAATGAGCACAGAGAAACTTTCCACTTTCAGCAGATTAATGTGAAAAGACGGGATAGGTTGACTCCCTGATTTTTTCACAGGTTATCTGTTTCATGTACTACTGTCAGGATATAGTGAAGTTTCAGCAAATATGACTAAATGTTTTAACTGCTTTTTATCAGATGAATAATTCTCTTGCAATGCTCAAAGCTGGTCATAAATAACCAAACATGCCTTTAAGAGATCATTTATTCTCCTCTCAGCACTGTGCTGAGCGCCAGAACTCGCCCATGGTGTCTCCCAGCTCTTCACCTGTCAGCCAACACAGAAAGGCCCATGGAGGAGACCCCAGCCACTTAGTCCAGCACCTAGCCCTCCCCCCTGTCCCACCACGACTCGACCTCATCCAGAAGGGCGCCATCCGCTCTCCGTCTGCCAGTCCCACCGGCTCCCCAAAGGTCAGTCACAGCATTCCCCCGGATGTAAAGAAAAATGTCTCCTGTGTGTTTTCTTGCACTTTATCATCAGTTGGCTTTCACACAATATAATATATAATAATTTCAAACAAATGTTTATATAAAAGTTTAAGAAGTGCTTTCCAGGAAGAAACAAGAATAATTAAAGCTGCAAGCAGCGATGAACGGGCCCTCGCACTCCACACAACTCGGGGTGTGCTGCAGCCGCGTCACGTGCCGTCGTAACACGTGTGGACCACAACATGAAAATTGCACATAAATCAGATCAAAATCGCCACGCAGCGCTTACTTCCTGTTGCCACTAGGTGGCGCTATCACTATATCTGAATATTATCACATAGACGTGTTCAGGGCGGGACTCTTGTCAACATGTAAAGTTTTGTTGCAGTTGGATCATGTACGCAGAAGTTATGACAACTTTCTGTTTGCATGGCGAAGAATCGAAATTGGATGTCACGGGACGCCACACCACTTCCACGCTGTTCGACAGAATGTTGTAAATAGCGCAACTTTTAATCATGAATGTCTTCAGATGGCTGCGTCCAAATGTGGAGTCAATCCAATAAATTCCCTGCATGCAATGCAACAGCGAAAATCGCCAGAAATGACCACAAAATCCAAAATGGCCAACTTCCTGTTGGGTTTGAAGTATGGGTCCAAGAGGCTTTTCTGCTTCTTTCATCACGATACACATGCGTACCGGTTTTCGTACATGTCGGCCTTACGGGTCTTGGAGGCTGATTCGGGGGGGCGGGGCTACGCCATTTGGTAGCACACGTGCAATTGCATACTTGGGGTTCTCGAACAATTTAATTTTGTGCAAATTCCCATGAGACTTCGAGCATGCAGCGGCCGGTGTTTAGAATGTGCTCACTAAATTTGGAGTTGTTCTGATAAATTCCCTAGGAGGAGTTTGTTAAAATAAAAGCCCTGAAATGCGACACAGTTTGACATTTTCAAATTTCATTTTGACATCACGTTTTTTGACTGTAGTGACCAATTTTGAGGTAGATCAAATAAATTTCCTAGGAGGAATTTGTTCAAATACAACACGAAAAACTCCCCAAAAATGACCAAGAAATTCAAAATGGCCGACTTCCAAGAGGCTTTTTTGCTTGTCTGATCATGATACACATGCGTATCAATTTTCATACATGTCAGTCATATGTGTCTTGGGGGCTGATTCTCGGGGGCGTGGCTAAGCCATTTTTTGAGACCCATGTACGGGACCAAGACAATACCTTAGCATTCGCCACGACTGATTTTTGAAGTTTCATGAGTCTTTGGGCATGTTTAGCCACCCCCAAAATTGTTCCAATGTAAACACAAAAGCTGATTTTTGTGTGGTTCAGCAAAAATAGAGATTCATAAGATGTCATCGTCATCATCTAAAGAGACTTCTGACAGAATTTCAGCTGGATCTGGTCTGCTGGCAAAAATAAATAAAAGTATAAAAATGACATCTCTGTTCGCCACTAGGTGGCACTGTCACCTTTACTGAATATTATCACATAGACGTGTTCAGGGCGGGACTCTGATCAGAGTGTGAAGTTTGGAGCTGATTGGACAATTTACACTGAAGTTATGACAACGTCCTGTTTCATGGCGAAAAGTCAAAACTTGGCGCCATGCCACAGACACTCCCTTGGACAAAAAGTCACAAATACTTTTAATCGTGATTATGTTTACAGTTGACTGACTAAATTTAAAGTTGATCTGATAAATTCCCAGAAATCACAGCTAAATCCAAAATGGCCGACTTCCTGTTGGCCCTGAGGGCCCATTTTGCCATGCTCATAGTGGACCCCTAGAAAATATGAAATTTTCACGGTCAGTGCTCGGGCCCTAATAAATTGCATAAGAAGGATGTAATACACATATTCAAAACAGTTAGGGGAAGAACAAAGAAGAAATGCATGACTTAAATAAAGAATCACTCTGGAGACGCTGAGTGCCAGCAAGTCATTAAAACCAGATCAGCAAATCTTTACACCCCTACTAGCTTGACGTGGTTGGTAACAGTGCAGGTACCAGTTAGGTCTTCTGGTTACATGTGATATCAGTATTTTCACTCTAGCTTTTAAAAAAGGCCCCAACAGCCTCTAAAAGACAGTAATGTCGGACAATGTTGGTTGAGGAGGTTTGGCAAAGTTTTATATTTCACTTAGCATCGCTATGTTATGAAGACCTGTGACCATACTGAACGCCAAAAACTGGGTTATCAAAAACAACAACAGTAAAAACATAGAAAATCTGTGTAGTGTCCAGGTGTGATTTAAAATGAGTCATTTAGTGAGCATACCATATCTCTCCACCTCTTCTAGTCTTCACCAGGTATGTCCAGGAAGCAGGACAAGCCTCTTCCAGCCCCGCCTCCTCCACAGAGGGACCCACCTCCACCGCCTCCCCCTGAGCGCCCTCCTCCCATCCCCCCAGAGTCACGCCACTCTTGGCTCCCCAGTTCTTCTTCCATCTCATCTTCCACTGGCGCACTGGCAGATTCCTCGATGCCCCCTGAGACACGGTGTCCCAAAGAGAGCCACTTCACAGATGCCCACAGGACGGGATTTGAACACCCGTTCCAGTTGGTGTCCGCAGGACCCTCTCACCTGAACGGAAGACCACTCAGTTGTCCATCTGCAGGATTTGTGAGGTTACATCACAGAATGGAGGGGGCAGGAAACTCAGAGAGCTCCAAGGTAGGGCTTAGACATTAGTTTGAACATTTAAGGTAGTAACTTTGGATAAGTATTTATCCTCAATAAAAGAAAGAAGTGGTTAGGACACATGATTATGCTTTTTTTCTCACTAACAGTGGGATGTATGGTTTTCTCTGAATAATAAAATAAACTGGCTTCTGAACTCTAGTCCAGGTACAGTTTACAGTAATGTGCCTTGTAGGGTTGAGACGATATACATGTTATTGTGTATCACAATAAAAAACACAACTCATTTATTATGGTAAATTTCCAATATTGTGATATACATGGATCAGGAAAATTGTGAATATCCTCACAAGGTTTGACTTGGAAAAGCTGTAGCTCTCCAGCATACAGTCCTATGTGGTTTTTCTGATTTTTCTTTTTTTAATAAGGGGACAAGGCCAGTCATTTCAAAATCCTAATCCTTGTCTGTTATATCCCCCACAAAAAACAAGTTAAACCAGATGTGGGGAAATAGTATAGATTCCAAAATAAGAACACAGTAATGTTTAAGTGCCATTTTAAAAGTATTAACTATATTTTCATTGTTATTGCAATAATATCGCATATGGCAATTATTTTGGCCAAGATAATTGTGACATGAAATTTTTCTATCATCCCATACCTAGTGCCTTGCTTTAGCACACATCATTGGTAGTTGCTAAGCGTTTGAAGTGCATTACTTGTACAAAAGCACTCCCAAGGCTGTGAACTACAAGCGTAGAGTCAACTATCAGTCAGTTTTAAAGATTAAAATGTCCAATGACAAATGAAACTGAAGGCCACTTCACTAAACTAGTTTTTATGTAGTTTTATTTTCTATGCTGTATGAATCAGTAAAGTGCATCAGGTGCAGCTACTTTACATGCAGTGATAACAGTGTGTTTCATGCATAACAGCATGCACTAAACTCAAAATATGTTGGTTATTAAATGTATAATAATTATACCTTATGCTCATTTTTGATACATTTTACTGATTCATAACATCCATCAGCAAATTTTTATGCAAGTGGCTTCCTGTTTGTTTGTGACTAGAGGTTTGTGGTCACAAGCTTTAACTCCCACTGATGTTCTAAAGTGAGGCACATAATCCCCAAATATAACTGCCTACTAGCAAGGCTCCATGGACTGTTGTTCATTAGATAAAGTAACTGAATATGCATTTATTTATATCAAAATCTTTTTTGAAAAAAAGTGAGAATAAAAGCTGTTCCTGACAGCCCCTTTGTAGTTAAAGCGTGTAGCAGGAACCAGACTAATAAGCTGCTCTGCTATTATTCTAATGAGTAAATACATACTTGAAGTGTGTTGAGCGGAATGTAAATATGATAATCTATGCCAAATAATGAAATCCCCGATTTAATCTGACCATTCAAATACAACCAAGCAAATCCTCCAGAGACTGCTTCAAAATCCACTGCTGTGGAAACTACAATACTGCTGAGCATCTGCATAATTTGTCTGCTCTCTCCACTTTATCATTTAAAAGCCTAGTGTGCTCATGCATGCGCACACTCAGCCAATCACCCACTCTCCTTCCAGAGACACTCTTTGATCAGAAAGTGCCTCCAGTTGTCTGTGCAGAGCATTGTCACTTTTGGTAATACTCAGGGAGTGATTTGCATACTTTTTGTCTTCCATATACAGGAACTATAATTTCAGAAGTGCGCTTTGCATATGGAATATATTTCTCAACTTCTGTTACTGAAGGTCAAATTTGGCCCAGGATTTTCAGAATGAATAGATCCCACCCTGTTAGGAACCTTTTTGCTCTGTGCTCCAGTAACAGTTGGTCATATGCTATGTGCTAGGCTACATTGAAAAGATATCGTCACATAAGTTATTTAGCTAATGTTAGCAAAACACTGGCCAGCTAGCTAGCCAGTCTACATTAACTAGCTAGCTAGCATTTTACTACAGAGCAAAACGTATCTACATCATCGACATATAAAAGATGGATGTTGCGTCTCCGCTTCCTCCACTGTACAAAAATGAAGCCATAATATCCTGCATACGGCTGCTGCCATTTTGCACTGGTGACGTAATTCAGGGATAGTGATTGGGTCGGTGCTGCAGTGTTGAATACACCCGAACATACAGCAGCGGGATAAGAACTATGTAAAAGGACTGAAACCATCTTTGGGAAAGATTTATTTGACGTGTCCTTGATGTTTAATTTACATAGACATAATGGAAATAAAGAATTGTTCGAGTAAAGCACTGTTACATCAATTATATAATATAGTACTTTTTACTGCGAAACTGATCATGATGACTCATCTCATTCCAAGAATGTGAAAGCATAGTGTATGCATGAAAATACAAGACAAATCACATCGTGTATTGATTCAGTACACAGACAGTTCTTTAGTTATTTGCAAATATATACTGGTTTGTATCCTTAAACTCACACCTACTTTTTAGTAAGGTGCTTTGAAGCTACAGTTGCTGTATATGCCTTCAATATGGTGCTCTGGGTGTGTTTGATAAAGGCTGCACTACCATCCTCCCACACCAAAATCAAAGAGGAAACACAACATGTCTGATGCATAATATAATGTATTTAAGCTTATTTCAGTTTGTCAGATTCAACTGGTTGTGACCTTTTCGGTTGCTCTTTGTGTTTTTATTAAATAATTCTCTGTCCTTCTCTTGTGTGTGTCTGTGCAGCCCTTCTGTAACGGTGTGCAAATGAGCGATGAGTATGACATCCTTCCTTCCCGGCACTCACCAACACAGTCCACACTTGCCAGTAGCCACAAGTGAGTATTACATGTACACACACATAATGGGACTATTCATCCAGCAAGGTATAAACCAAGTTTCCTCGGAAATATGCTGGAAAAGTTTGGGCAATATTAAAATGATATCTATATACAGCACCATTGTGTTAATATGGGCAAATAAGATTACAGTGTGTGGAAGCATGCAAATATAGCGGTGCATTACTGTGACCAGTGAGTTTCCTCTAAGGCTGTATTTAAAAACTGTGCATCAGAATGAAAGTCTATGTTAATCATATAAAGGTGATTGAATGCTGGACAAAAGCCTGTTTAATCAATGGATCGTGCATGCCAAGACTCAGCTATATCTAATTTCCTGTATTAGACTGTGCAAGGTTATCTGGCTGCAGCAGTGTGTAGTGTTTTTATACAAATATTTTATGTCACATTTGCTGAAACTTTCACCAAATCCTGACAGTTGTACACTAGACAGATAATCTGTGAAAACATCTGGCTCCTCCTAGTGCTCCTAATGGTATTTGCAAGAATCCACCAGGTCTGAATGAAAACAACTAATCAGAGCCAAGAAAGATAGTTCAGTAAGGACCACTTTTGTCAAAAGAAACTTTTCCCAAATGCAGAATGTTATATTTGGCCGTATGGCTCTGTTCTGGGACCTCCTTGCCTTTCCACCTGCCTACATGGAAAACCTTAAGGCAGGGAGAGCCCACCTCCCTGCCCTTCCATGTGCATTTAGACAAGGAGAGCGGCAGCAAATATCCCCAAAGAACCATACCGGGCAACCTCCCTTCCATGAACTACATGGAAGTGCTAGTAGAAGAAGTCGGCAGGAATCAGTAAGGAATAAAATAACAATCATTGAAGCCAGTATCTATGCAGACACTAGTTTGAGGTCAAGAGATAAACCAAGCTAGGGACATGGAATTTCCTTCCTCCGTGGCAAAGAGAGGCTCCTGTTTGCTGGCTCAGGGACGGCTGATAAATTTGCTTCTCAGATTGGAAGAAATTGCAGCTGCCTTTCATACAAATATTAACTTAATCAGAATCATTCAGTTTATTACTAGACAGTTAATATTTGTTATTACCCCTGATCAAGCACAGTGTTTTACCATTCTTCTCAGATATTTCCATTTAGTCCATCTCCCGAAACTCCTCCCTTCTTTTCTCTGTGGTTTCAGACTTCTACCACTGAGGTCTAGTAGCCTCAGGGAGAAGTCCTGGTTAGGAACAGCTTTAAAAAATGATGGCTGAACGTCTAATAGCCTTTTAGCTGCAGCCCGAATTAGATTAGGTATTTCTGTGTATCGGGCTGTAGTGGAGGCAGGGGGATAGAACTGTCACTTCTGATGAAGCTTGAGCCAAAGGGGAAGCTCTGCTTCTCCTGAAAACAACTAAGTGCTGTAAAATATTGTGAGGTTAAGAGTGATGTAAACACACACTTCCTGAACACAAATGACTACAGCTGACTTGCACATGATGGTCACAGGATCACTCAGTCACACATGTTTTTATTACTGTATATATAATAATGTTTCCTTGTTTAATCATTTATTACAAACACACAGCAGTTAGTGTACTTTGCACCTTTGCTGTACAATAACATTGCACTGTAACACGCAGTAGGTAAACACAGTTTGTAGGGTGGTGCCAGCTGATAAAACAATAAAAAAGACGAAGTTTAGTGAAGTGATGAAGTAGCGTGGGATCATGGGAGTTGTCTTCACCGCCATTGCAGTCAGCTTCTCCAAGTTGGGATTCCTTCAGTGTTCATTGTTCAGGAGGTTTCTACCATGAGCCCAATAATGCACAGAGATCTCCTACTTTCCAACGGACTTGCAGATTAAAGATGCAGTTGTTAACTTTTAAACTTTTTGTAATATTTGCTGAAACTTCCTGACAGTAGCACAATTATTTCACACATACAGCTGCTGACAGGCTAATTCCTCATGGCTCACTATTTTGCTGAAGAATACATCAGCAGTAATGTCTTAGGTGAGGGTGTTGCTCAGCTGCTTTTCCCAACAACTTGGTAAAGGATTGTAAAATATGTCAGTCAGTCCACAGGCTATCAGCGGATTCAGTTTGAATGCAATAACTGAATAAGTGACACTGATGTATAGGTTGGGTTGACATATCACGGTCATCTTTACAGACCCTCCAACCCTTTCAGCAGTCCCGTGGTAGAACGAAAGCGGGGAGGGATGGAGAGGATGGAGGATGACTATCAGATCCCCTCATCCAACCTCTGCCTGAGCCAGCCTCCCATCTGCATCTCTGTACCCAGCAGGTACGCGCCCTTTCTCAATGTATTAAAGTTACTGTGGGGATACGGCAATGATGGTTCCATTAGAGTTTAATTAAGCTGCAAAAAGATTTCCTCTCTCATTCAGACACTTGGAGAACGGCTCTCCAGAGCCTTCCAGTGAGGAGAAGAAGCCCCGGCCCCCGGAGCCTGGTGAGTCCTAAAACCAGGAGAGTTATACATTATCTTTATCCCTATTACCATGACATCATTGACTTCAGGGCTGCACAATTTTGATGCAAATATTTGGACAGATATTACTATTGCAGTGTGATTCAGGATTAGTTGGAATGATAATGTTTGCATCACAGTGTTCATTTTCACTAAAAAAACCATTAAAATCATGATGATGTGACATTTTTTGGTGTCTGTACCAAAGATTTGTAGACCAGAGCATCTCTGCAGCACTACAGTACTTCATTATACTGCTGTCTAGAGGTGGGCGATATATATCGTTTTGGAAAAAATCGTCATTGTTTTTTTTAAAATTTGAAAAAATCCAATAAAAAAAAAATAAAAAAAATAAAAAAAAAAAAAAAAACCCAAAAAAACCCCCACAACCAACAAAAAAAAAAACCCCCCACCCCCCCCCCAAAAAAAATGAAAGAAAAAACCAAAAACAAAAGGGGCCAAGGAAACAAAAAAACGGAACACCTAACCCCTTAAGCCTTTCACGGCGGTAAAAACGAATTTTGGAAAAAAAAAAAAAAAAAAAAAAAAAAAAAAAAAAAAAAAAAAAAAAAAAAAAAAAAAAAAAAAAAAAAAAAAAAAAAAAAAAAAAAAAAAATTATTTTTTACTGCTGTCACACATTTAACCTAAAAAACTGCAGCTTCTGTGATTTGCATATTGCACTTGGCCGTATTGTGATTTTGATAATGTTTGGATTAATTGTGCAGCCCTAGCTGACTTCATCTGATGTAGTGTGATAAGCAGGGTAATTATAATGCCCAAAAATTATCAGTAGAAACTGTATGAACCCATCTCGACACCTCGTTCAATCCAATATTGAGTCTTGAAATAAAAAAGAGGCGCCAGGTAATCTCATTTGTTTCCATTACACATTAAAGCTGTGGTATGTAACCTTTAAAAAAATAACTTTCTGTCATATTTGCTGAAAATATATCCTGACAAATGGCATTTCCAAGAATCCACAGACAAAACAACCAATCACAGCCGAGTAAGATATAAAGACGCTTTGAGTTTGAGGCTGGAAGATAGTTGATTGTTGAGTCTCATTCCCAGGGTCCAAAAGCATCTGTATTTGACAACCTGGGAATGAGACTCAACAATCAACTATATTTCTTGGCTCTGATTGGTTGTTTTCTTTCAGGCTCAGTGGATTCTTGCAAATACCATTAAGATAACCAGGAAGAGCCAGAGGAACCTGATTTTTTCACAGATTATCACTCATGTACTACTGTCGGGATATTGTGAAAGTTTCAGAAAATATGACAAAAAATAATTTGTATAAAAATGACTTAGCAGTTTCTTGTTGAGGAAGATTTTCTTGATACCAAAAAAAGGATATTCAAGGATATTAAACCTTATAAAAATATTTCAATCAGGTACAAGTGCATAACAATCAACTATGGCCAAATTCTTTAAAATATGTTATGCCCTGTTGGAGTGGCTGTGTATAGTTCAGGCTGCAATATGTTGAACTCTGCTTGTGTTCCTTAGGTGGACATTGCCCCTTCAACACCAACAAGACACCCTCTGACTATGACATTCTTCTGCCACCCCAAGGTAGCCTACCCCCAGCCAGAACAAATTCCCTGTTACAGCTCCCTGTCTCTCTCTCAGCCTCTCTGCTGCCGAACCCCACCTGTCTTTCCCGTGCCTCACCTGTGTTGTCAGGTGGACTGTGTGACACTCTTGTCATGTAAAAACATGTATACTTGACTCCATCCAGCGAATCTCAAGTGGTCCGTTAAGGGATATCTGTGATACATTACAAGCAGATTATCAAATGAGATCTAATTATAAACCCCCAAACAACATTAAGTGTAGTATCATTTTATTAAAACCATATTCTGCAGTCAGTTTCGGATCAATCCTTCCAACAGCAAAACATGGTTCTCATTTGAATGGGCAGAAAGTATTCATATCCCTCTCCTGAGTAAAAGTACAAATACCAGGCTGTAAAAATACTCAGTTACAAGTAAAAGTCTGCATTGAAAAAGTTAATTAAGTAAAAGTATGTAAGTATAATCAGGAAAATTTGTTTCAAATATGAAAAATATAGAAAGGTCCCCTGTGATTGTTGTACTATTGTGTATGATATAATTACCCTGTGACATCTGTTGAGTTTGTTTAACTCAAACTGTTTCAGGTAACTGATTGCTTTAAACAGTATAAATTTATGAACTCCAACAATTTAAGCATGAAAATATTTTTTATTTGAGTACAAGTAGCTCCTTTATTGTTAAGGTAAGGTTAAAGTTAATTGCACTTAAACCTAGTATGTATATTAAATTCATATGCAGCATTTCTCCAAACTTATTTAAAATGTGTTAACATTTATCTGAATAAAGTCTTCTTAATTTTGGGGTTTACATTTTTGTAATGATATAAAGTCAACTCAAAGAAAATTAGTCAATGGAACAAACTGGAATTATTTCATATATATCATATATATTTAAGTTCACTCAGAGTTATTATTGTTATTACTTCAGCAGTTCATATTTTAGTTGGGTTTAATTCATGGGAATGAGTGGCTCAAAATGTTATGTCAGCTCAAAATTATTACAAATACATTTAAATTATTACACTCATTCAGAGGAAAAGCAGCAAATCTTCACATTTGTGGAGCTGGAACCATGAAGGGTTTTTACATGAAAAATGACAAACGATCATCAAAATGGTTGAAAGTAACTAATTGACTAATCAACAATCATTCCAGCTATACTTGTATAAACTGTTGGGTAGTTTCATATACTTGCTATTTTGTAGGGATTCATTTCCATACTATTTGCCCCTCAAAATCTTACTTTCAATGAGCACAATGAAAGTGGAAACACTTTCAGCAGATGAATGTGAAAACATCCTTTTAGTGTCACACTCTGCATATACATAACTTCAAACATCACAGTGTAGCAACAAGAAGAAACACTGATTTTGACTTAGTTACAATAATTCTGTACACAAATAGAAAAACTAGGCTTCAGATATAGTTGCCTGATTACAATGATCACTTATTATGTTCTTATAGTTGTCTGTTTGATGTACTATAAGACTGTGTAGTTCAGCATCCTAACAAAGTCTCTTACGTTGTGAGATGTTCATGGGTGAGTATGTCAAACAACAACACAGCCTGATCTTTAGTTTTTCATCCTTTTTACCACAAGTCTCTGTCCAAGTCCTCCTCCTCTTCCTCCTCCTGTGAAGTCCCCTCTCAAAAATATCCTCTCTTGGCTTTTCTCTAAAGGGCAGCATGCCAGCCACTCTTTGGCATGTAATCCCTTTGCTGGGACTGAGTTTGGTTCAGACTTTACAGAAGCGTCAGCCTCCTCCTCATGGAATAAGTATAAACTGTGAGTCAGAGAGTGGAGCAGAGAGCTCAGTCTGGTGCTTCTCATGTGTTTCAGCATTAGACGACCCCTTCAACAGATGCCCTCCGTCCCAGCCTCCTCCTCCTCCCCCACCTGCGCGGCACAGCTTCACGGACCTCTCCTCCTCCTCCTCCTCCTCCTCCTCGCCATCCCCGTCCTGCAACTCCTCCATGTCCTCCTCCTCTGTCATCACACGACCGCACAGGCCCTCCTCCGGACAGGAGCACCTGCTGTTAACTCCCTGGTGAGCTGGCAAAGTCTCAAGATTATCCTTCAGATCAAAATTATAAAGTGACACATACAGTATAAATGTAGTGCATCTCCTGTGGCATTATGCTAATCTTATGATGTTCTCTATCATTGGATTAAGTGTTTATTATGCATAAAAGTGTCACACTGCACATCATTTACAGCACTGGTTCCCAACCACTAGGGGTCGCAAGGATTTTAAGGGGTGTAAGAAAACTTAAAATTATACATACAGTAGGTCTATACACCGATCAGCCATTACATTATGAGCACTGACAGTTGAAGTGAATAACACTGATTATCTGGTTATCATGGCACCTGTCAGTGGGTGGGATATATTAGGCAGCAAGTGAACATTATGTCCTCAAAGTTGATGTTAGAAGCAGGAAAAATGGGCAGCATGAGGATTTGAGCGACTTTGACAAGGGCCACATTGTGATGGTTAGACGACTGGGTCAGAGTATCTCCAAAGCTGCAGCTCTTGTGGGGTGCAGTGGTCAGTATCTGTCAAAAGTGATCCAAGGAAGGAAAAGAACCGGAGACAGGGTCATGGGCAGGTTTGGGTTCTTTGTACAGTTTATTAGTTGTTCTCTACTGTTATTGTTATGCACTAAATATAATATGAAATATCCATAAAATATAGTCAGTTTACTCAGTGATACAAAAAGAAAGAAAGAAAAGTTGGGAGGTTGGGAACCACTGATTTACAGCATTACTTTGTTAACTGACAGATAGCAACAGACTTGTTTACCTGAATTTCTCTGTTTGATCTGTGTTCTAGACACAGTGTTTGACATGCTGAACAGTGCTGCTCCTCTGCCTCCAGTCAGACGACACACAGAAAATGTTAAAGGCTCCAGAGGCTGCCTGGAGTACGACCATTTACCAGCAAGTCAAGGTAGAGGAAATGCACGCATATAGTTTCTACAAACAAATACATGTCCAGGGGCCAGATGCTTAAAACTCTGTAGATTTGTGACTTAAACTCAATACAGAAATATGAATATGCATTATTTTAGTCAGTTTATAAATCTCAGTCATTGTGGAACTGGGCGCACATTTCCACTCCCACAGTTAGTAATACATGGACATAGAAACGCCCTTAGAAGTTGGCATATCCATACTTGTGCCTGCCCTTAACATTCATCAGACCTGTCAATGAGGAGAATGACAAAGAAGAAAAGGTGCAATTTAACCAACTGTGTCCCATCAGTGAGGTCATCCAACAGTACCACAGCAGCTGTCATTAAGGACTGCTATTAGGCAGAATTAATAAATCCAGGATAACTGAAAAAGCGAGGCTTGACCTGGTCTAGTCGAAGGATCCTGGTTTAATATGTTTCACGAAGGCTAGGCCAGGCTGAGGAGGTGCAGCTGGGTGAAGCCCGGTTTAAGTAATTTGGATAAATGCATGTTCACAGCTTTCTTCAACAGACCACAATATCAATCACAGATTTGCGGAGAAGATGCATTAAACATACACTGCTTGTCCCAAAAAAAAGTCGCCACCTAGATTTAACTAAACAAATTGGCAAGAGCCTTCCATTGGATAATTACTGCAGTGATCAATGTGTTTTAGCTGGCAACAAGTTATTTAACCCTAGCTGATGCGGTGAGTAGCTTCTCATTTCTTAAACAACCATGTCGGAAGACATATCCCGTTGTCATGGAAAGGATGTTAATCAGTTTCAGAAGGGTCAAATTATTGGCCTGCATCAAGCAAAGAAAACAACTAAGGAGATTGCTGAAACTACTAAAATTGGGTTAAGAACTGTCCAACGCATTATTAAAACCTGGAAGGATAGTGGTGAAACATCCTCTGCGAGGAAGAAATGTGGTCGGAAAAAACTCTTGAATGATTGTGATCGGAGATCACTTAAACGTTTGGTGAAATCATATCGTAAGAAATCAACAGTAGAACTCACAGCTATGTTTAATAGTGAAAGTAAGAGCATTTCCACACGCACAGTGCCAAAGGAACTCAAGGAATTGGGACTAAACAGCTGTGTAAGAAAATAAGAAAACCACTGATCAGTGAGGCTAATCATAAAAAAAGGCTTCAATTTGCTAGGGAACATAAAGATTGGACTTTGGAGCAATGAAAGAAGATCATGTGGTCTGAGGAATCCAGATTTACCCTGTTCCAGAGTGATGGGCGCATCAGGGTAAGAAGAGAGGCAGATGAAGTGATGCCTAATGCCTACCGTACAAGCCTGTGGGGACAGTGTTATGATCTGGGGTTGCTGCAGTTGGTCAGGTCTAGGTTCAGCAACGTTATGTCCCCAAAGAATGAGGTCAGCTGACTACCTGAATACACTGAATGACCAGGTCTTTCCATCAATGGAGTTTTTCTTCCCTGATGGCACGGGCATATTCCAAAATGACAATGACAGGATTCATCGGGCCCACATTGTGAATGAGTGGTTCAGGAAACATAATCATTCACACATGGATTGGCCACCACAGAGTCCAGACCTCAGCCCCATTGAGAATCTTTGGGATGTGCTGGAGAAGACTTTGCGCAGCGGTGCAACTCTCCCATCATCAATACAAGATCTTGGCAGAAAATTAATGCAACTCTAGACGGAAATAAATGTTGTGACATTGTAGAAGCTTATCAAAACAACGCCCCAGCGAATGTGTGCAGTTCTCAAAGCTAAAGGCGGTCCAATGAAATATTAGAGTGTGCGACTTTTTTTTGGACGGGCAGTGTACTTTACATGATGGAAGCTTATGTGAAGCACATTATGTAAAAAATTAAACACAGTTGCTGTAATAAAACAGAGAAAAAATGTGGCAGACAATAGCAGAACAGCTGAATGTGTAAGTAGCCTAAAATGATGCACTTACTAACCGTACTAACCATTGTTCTAAAGTGAAACTAATTCATCACATGTACCTACAAACAGTAGCACTGTGATATATCTATCATCATTATTAAACGTCACAAAGATGATCAGTGATTCCTTTATAGAGCTCATATTGAAACATACTTTACAAAGTGCTTCTCAGTTCAACATAAAATGAAAATATCAGTAGAGGGAAATAATGGCACAAATATAGAATGATAAATGATAAAATTCACCACTGGTGAATGATTTAAAATGACAAAATGCTGTGTAGACAGCAGAAATAATACAATACAAACAATATGGTTACATCTCTCACTTTATATTTAATCTGTGCCTCATCATATCACCCACAGCTATCAGAAGGAAGCGGTGTGTACGCCTGGTCTGAAGTATTTGTGGGGTCTGCACATCCTTCTTTTATAAATACCAGTTTCTGTGAGATGGCGTACGATTGGTTTTAGTGCATACGTATCATTTATACGTCTGGCCCTAGGTCTTGATGAGAGTGTAACTTTAACAAAAACTTGTGATACACACATGACTTCATGTTCTCTGTGTTTTCGACCTCAAATATTCTGACTGGACATGTGACCAAAAAAAAGGATGTAACCTCTAGGATAAAAAAAAGCCTTTGAAATTGAAATTGCACAGGGATCCCTTAATTCAATCAAAGAAGAAAGGATTTTTAGTAGAAGAGTTACTCTCAGAGAAAAAAACTCCCCCTCTGTTGAAAGATTCATGTGCATCTCGCGGGCTCGGAGACTCTCATCAATGGGAAGAACGGGAAGTTGTGAGCAGCTCTTTGGATGATGACCATAGGATTCACTTTGTGCAGACATTAAAAGTTTGTCTAAAATTCCACATCAGCTTCATTGTGTTTGGTTTCAGTAGCTTTTATTTGTGCCCTGTTTCCCATAAAGCAGGCAGACCACGTTTTGGTCTCTGTGGCATCCATTGAGGAGCAGGACATCAAAGACATATGTGCAGTGAATACCTCAATATCTGCTTTCTAGCTATGAAGACTTAATGATAAAGGTCTGACTTCTGAAGGCACTGGGGAAAATGTCAGAGCTTTAGTTCTGTGACAAGCTGTGTTTAGTCTACAAACCTCTCCTTGACCACTAATAACACTCTCAAGTTTCTGCCTGTGTGCCAGGGACAGTTTTCCACTGACACCATCTCTCTCTCTCTTTCTCTCTGCAAGTATCGATGGACTGTTTGCAGGCCCCCGCCAGGCCGCCCAAGCCGCTACCCAGGAAGATCCCTCCGGACAGTCAGCCGGGCAAACCCCATAGCCTGGAGTCGGAGAACGTGGACGCCAAGATCGCCAAGTTGATGGGAGAGGGTTACTCTTTTGAGGACGTGAAGCGGGCGCTGATGATCGCCCAGTACAAAGTGGACGTGGCCCGAAACATTCTGCGAGAGTTTGCCTTAGTGGCCCCAAGACTGAACCTCTAGTCAGTGAAAAGGGGAGCACAACAATGGAGCTGTGCCTCTGAAGGGACTGACTAAAAAATAAAGGGCTTCTTCAGTCCGCTTGGCCTCGGACTGTTGGAACAACAATGATCAACAGAAATATTTAAAGGGAGACTCGCCTTTTGTTGCAGAACAGACATGACGACGCACAACAAAGTGGCTAAAACCAAATCATCTCGGAGAATCAATAAAAAGGGAGAAAAGACTGTCTGTGAATGATTTTAAACCTGTGAAAAAAAAGAAGCAGGCTTGTTGTTGTTTACAGTGAGCTTTGCCGGTGCTGGCCTCTGGTTTTCAAATGCTCCTGTTTGTCCCGGGGCTGAGACTGTACACCTGTTTTAAAGCTCTGATCCTGCTACTGCTGCTACTGTTCCTTTCACACCCTGCCACCCTCTGGACTTCAGTCTGAAGGGCCTTTCAGAAGACATTTCCAGCTCATTTCAGTTTATATGCTTAACCAGTTGTTAGGGCTCATTTTTATTTACAACCAGCAGGGGGAGGCAAACTCCACCATTTCCGCACTCCTTTCCTGTTTCACCCACCTCCTCCTCTTTCTTCCCTTGTGTGTTGCCCATTAAAGGATAGTCCACTGTTTGCCCAGAGTCTGGCTGACTTGCAGGTCTTAACAAGGTCTGGAGTGTCAGGAGTGGTTAGATGGTGCCGGAGGATGCCTTATTGATTCACTTGTTTCGCCTAGACCTGGAGAAAACTGTACGACAGCTCCAGAGGAGCATTCTTGTTAGACTAGGTATCTTATTTGGACAGGAAGAGTGAAGCAGGGAGGGGTGGGGGGGTTAGTTTCACTGTTTGTTTCTGTCCCTAGACCAGAGGATTAATCAGCTGGGGCCTTTTTTTAATTACTTCCTTCATCTGTGGACAGCAGGCCTTTGAATGTATTTGTTGTGCATGAGTGAGCTATACCTTTCTATACTCTGAGCTCCTCTCAGGCCCAGGTTTTCCTTTAAGCGATTAAGCAGTGAAAAATGTTTTAATGTTTGTTTTTCCATGTCAAAAGCCAGAGACGATCGTGCCTGTACTTCAGCTCAAGCATTTAAGCGACAGGAGCGAGCCTGTTATGTAGAAGTCATCTGTTAGAGCTCAGAGAGGACGCACTCTGCAGCCGTCACACTGTCTCCACTTCAATTACACAGCCATCCTACTGTTGAAGTCCACATTCCCCACATGTTTTAGGAATTGCTTTCAGTCTGATTTGAAGTGGTGCATTTTCGCCTGTGTGGCGTTGTGAAAGCAGTAGAGACAAATAGAATACTATTGTAGAAGAGCAGAGTAATGTGGTGTTAGAAGTTAAAAGCCCCTTACCTCAGAATCTGGAATCAGCTGTATCTTTCCATAATGACTGCAAGATGTCTCACCTATGCATATATTGGATTTTTTTAAATGTAACACAGTATTGTTATTATTATTATTATTATTATTATTATTATTTTTTACAATAGTATACACAATGCTGGCAGATTAGGGTGCCAGGGGCTATGTTTACATGGAGGGCAAAACCAGGCTATTCTCATAGTGATTATTAATAATACCAGTTTATAATTCCATTGTTTTGGCCAACGTTACTATTGGTTATGATATCATTGTACTCACCAAAGTAATTGACCCTCCCCTTTTTGCTCTGTGCTCCAATAACAGTTGAGCAAGCATCCCCCAGAACCTCTGTCTAAGTCTTCCTTTCCTGTACTTACATATGCTATGTGCTAGGCTAATCTATGTTGAAAAGACAACCACAGTGTGAAGATGGTTAAAAGATTACAAAGTGACAGTTTAGCTAATGTTAGCTATCAGTCGTGAAATAGGTAGTTAGGTTGCTAGTTAGCTAATGTTTTATTAACCATAGATTAAGTGACTGAATATTATATGTTATATGTTACTTTAATATTTAAACTTTCTACAAAATGTGGTTGTCTTTTTAACATCTATTAGCTTAGCACATAGCATATCTAAGTACAGGAAAGCTGACCGAGGTTCCCAAAGATGTGGGACTTTGGAAGGGTCAATTGTTGAGATATGGAAGTGGGAACTACAACAAAGTCTGACCAGTCAAGGAACGAGAGCAATCCTTCGATTAGACAGGTTGTAAAGACCTCCGAAAATATCAGGCTCTCCAAGTACCTCCTTTATGACCAACGTTAAAATACAGCAGCATATGCCGACCCAGTTCAGCTACAGACAGCTCACACAGGAGGCAGCTTTATTCCTAATAAGATTATTTATTGTTAACCGTTGTTGAATCCTTACCGGAACCGGTTCAAGAACCAGAGCCAATCTGGTGGAAAAGGGGTCCTCCTGGTCCACACTTCTCTTTCCAAAAGTTCCTGTTTGGAGCCACGATTGTTTTTGAGCCATTCATTTTACCTCCGTTGATTATCTTACCATCACATTTAAGCTCCGAACTAATCATGGATGAAAAAAAAGCGACTTCACTCAAACAAAGTATTACAGGAAATGCAAAACTTAAAATTACATTTCAGAAATCTCATACTTTAAGTATTTTTATTTGAAATTGTGCAGTATTTTGGTATATTTATATGTGGTTGTTTAAATTCATTTATTTAATTTATAAAAAATATTTGAGTGATAAAAATATTTGAGTGATTCCTCCACATACCACTAGAGGGGGCTCGCATACCAGCAGTTTGAGAACCATCTAAAACACTTTATGCGGAGGACTGCCTTTTTTGTTTTCTCCTTCACGTAAGGTTGTCTTACCTGAGGGTTTGCTTAAAAGCTGTCTTATAATATTAACACAACTCTGTCTGAGTTCTTTTTAGCGATGTTGCTGATCTCAGCAATTTGGAGAGTTCAATGTCTTTCTTACTGAAAGATGAAATTACCCTTTAAGTCTGGCATTAAATAGAACTTGAAATTTGATGACCTGTTGAGTCCTTTCTCAGTATTTGCTTCTATAGCAGTCACAGAAACTCCCTTTCCCTGGGGTAACCACTGGTTACAGCTAGATTTTGAAGCCATTTTTGCATCAGACCTGAATTCATTGTCTGGGAAACATTGGGCTAACAGACAGACAGCTTACTTGTTGGTGTGTAGATCAGTAGAGTAGATCTTTTCTTCCTGACAGTACAATGTGATGTGCTGTGTTTCTAACTGTCATCCTAATACCGTATATCAGGACTATAGTAACCAACAGTTAAGCTCAGCAAACTGAGCTAGGCAACCTTTAAGACTGTGCAGCATCTGGGTCTGTTTTTGTTTTTGAACAAACAAGCAGAGTAAGTCAGGCTGTGTGTTTGGACTGAGGTTCCTCCTTCTGTTCTGCGAGCTAGTCCAATATGTACCCAGAGACAAGCCAGATGAACACACAGAGATCAACAGGTGGCGTTGACCCATTTTCACCTCCACACACTCATTTTTCCTGCAGCCATTATTAGGCTTTTAACATTAATTTGAGATGATGTATTCTAGTTTTCCTCACAGAGGGGTTTTAAAATGTTTATTGATTTGGGTCCCCTGTGATTGAGGCTTCTTGCAAAGTAGAAAAGTCAGTGTAACCAGGGCCCGATATAGAGAAATATTCCTGGGTGGACAGAGGGTGGCATGGAGACTTTAAAGCTGCAGTAGGTAACTTTTATAAAAAATAACTATTTGTAATTTTTGCAGAAACATTCATTATATCCTGACAGTAGTACATGAGACAGATAATCTGTAAAAAAAAAAAAAAATCAGGTTCCTCTGGCTCCTCCTTGTGCTCCTAATTCCACCGGGCCTGGACAAAAACAACCATTCAGAAGTGAGAAAGATATATAGCTGATCTTTTCACACACTTTCTGTTCAGATTGTCTTGTGTACTACTGTCAGGATTTAGTGAAAGTTTCAGCAAATACAACAAAAAAATTTGTTTAAATAAAAGTTACCTACTGCAGCTTTAACTATCTCCATGCCACCCTCTGGGACAGCTTTAAGGTGTGGTAGAAATATATGCTGCTTTAATCGCAAATATATCAATATTTACTTGGAAGAGCCCCTAAATGAAGATATTTCAAATCATTCCACTATTGTGGCACATTAATAAAGCATTGTATAGAAATATCTCAAGGTGGCATTAGAAATCAATACACTGTTTTATTTACAAATCATTAGACATTTTTCCTTAGTCTTTTTTACTGAACATGCACTTGTTCTAAAATGTGGTCGTAACAGATCATTAAATTAATTTTAGTTTTAACTTAACCCTCTAGATCTGCCCCTGATTGTTTCTGGTCAACTATCGGCAAAAATGGAAATGAGAAGGTTCAGTTTGAACATCCTGATAATACAGCAGGGGGACATGATGATCTCAGTCCTAATAATACAGCTCACTGACTTCTTTTCTCATTTACATGTGCTCATAATGTGAGAGTGAGTGTGAAATTGAGTGGTTTTTGTGTGTTGGCATCTTCACAGGTCTCATGATTCTCATAATTAGAATGTGATCTTGTGATTTTATCTTAACCCTAATTTGACATTTGTATACTCCGAAGAAAAAACAGGTTACCATAGCGACCAGGTTAACAAACAGTTGTTGTGTGCATGCAATGAGTATGGCTCTTCATGCTGCATGGTCAACCATGGAAATAAAAACTATGCTGTGTGATGGAGACAAAGCAACTATCAGTGAATGTGCTCTTAAAGTCAACAGTGTGGGAGGCACAAAACATGTACTGTTTTATTTTATTTATTACCTGGTCAGTTTAACCCCTACCCAACCCACATCTTTCCATAAAGAGCTTATATCCATCCCTCTGCTATCCCTTCCTTTTTCTGAGCTGCACTTTAAAGGGGAACACCACTGTAGTTTAAAATGTACATAATGTTAATACTGAGCCCTGAAGCAGTCCATAGAGATAGTGATAATGAGCAATGCTGAGAACCAAGTCTCTAATCTCTGTTATCATCCACAGTGTACACACACATTCACAGAACATTATTAGCCCATGCAGCCCAACTATAAAGTATGTCAGCTCAACCAAAACACATATATTAACATATAATTAAGCACTTAGATAATGCCTAGTCATCAGCTAAGCAGCTTTATCTGCTCTATCTGGTTCTGGACTCAACTTTATTTACATTTCAACATTCAAATGATGTTTACATTGTGCTGTCTGTGTTGGACCAGAAAATGTTCTCTCATCCTCAGAAAAAAACCTGCAAGGCCGCTCTCCTTTCAGATTAGAGCGTAATGCTGCAGATTAGACAATGAGTTAACACTTTGTTTCCAGTAGGCCTACCACATGTAGTCGATGTGAAATTCAGTGGCCTTCCCCTTCAACTTGAGGCTTAAGTATTTTGCACTGGTCTGTTTTCACACTTTTCTTGAACTTGAACGACTCTGAGCTCAGAATTGTCCATTCCATTGGACTCCCTTGTGAAGGGGGTAAGTGGCCTTAGGTTGCAAAGGGCAGTTTTTATTTTCTAATTCCATTTTCGTATTAATGTGCTCTGGTGACAAAATAAAAGTGTTGATAATATGTAAAGCATAGAGTAATGTGCAATTAATTTATACATTATTAATGCTTTTGTTATTTTCATGGATAAGTAAATAAAAAGTCACGGTTCCTTTGTTCTATGTGTGTTTTGTGTGTGTTTGTGCATGCTTGTGTGTGTTGGAAAAAGCTTTTTGGGCCAGGGTTAGGGATAGGCAGTAGATGCTGATATTATTGGCCAATATTGGCTGTTGCAGACATATCAGTATCATATCAGTATTGGTCTAGATGTTATCCAATATGCACCGTTATATATAAATAATAATTATAAAGCAGAAAAAATGCTTAGTGTCACTGCAAAGGTTAAACAGCAGTCTTATGCAAAAATGACCCGATCGCTCACTTCCTTTCTTCCTAATGAGTTTATGGTCTCAATCTCTAGTTTCAGTCTTCTTCCATACAGCATCATGTTCATTTTGAACATTATGGTCCCCTTTATAGTAAAATAGACAATAAAGCAGGGTATGCTTTAGGGTGGGGCTACCTTGTGATTGACAGGTCATTCTCAGTGAGTCCGTCCAGCTCAACGCACCAAACTCAGATCAAACTGTCAAACTATGCAGTGCTGATCAGAAATGAATCAACATTCTGTTACTGCGTTGACTATTTCTCTCCTGAAATTCATGGCAACAACAGTAATGCCAAATTTGAGGGTTTAAAACGGTACTCCACAAACCAATGAGTGACATCACAATAGGTTCACACTTGGCTAAAACTGACCTGTTCTCTACTTGACACCACGTGTTTTTCAGATATTATTATATATCAAATAATTTTCAAAATATTCACTAATTAATCCTAATTGGTGAATTTCTCCCCTCTAAAAGCAATATCAGTTAGGCTCTTGTTAGGGAATGTCTACGCAATGTCTCTACAACTTCCATAAGTAAACATATGTGTTGTTGTGTCATGATAGCGTGGGACAGCTGGGAGTTTGTTTCAGTAGAGAAACACATTTCTCTGAGCCGGAGGCTTCCAGTGAGTCAAAGGAAGTTTGTTCCAGTAATGCAACAGAAATAACAAAAGATTGTCACCTGCAATTATGACTCTAGGGAGCTTCACTCTGCCTGCAAGCTACTGAAGTCAGATCAGTAGAAAGGTCCTTGACAAATGATGGAAGATACTTGAGATTTAAAGGAATACTGAATTTAACTGGGAGTTCTAAAAGAAAGTGGGAGATTGTCCCATCGGTGAACTCCTTCAAGTGATATAGTAACAGCACAGACGGCAGACATGCCTGTGGTGCTCCATGCTACTTTGTTGGCACTAGCTGTGGACTGATAGTAAGGAATGTCACTGTGTCTGTAAATTGTGTTAAAGAATCAGTCTGGTGATTTTCTAGATTTTTCTTATTGTCAGCAAATCCCATGTAGGTGTGTGCGCGAATATCCAAATTCAAAAATTAAACAAATATCCAAATAGTCGGGTCCAGCCCATAGGCCGCCAGTCTCATCCATAGATTGTATATTTATAGATGGCCACAGTCTACGTGACCTCAACCATAGGTTTTATATATAATAAGACTGAACTTGAAGACAGGAGACAGAAAAAATGGACATCCTACAAGGTACACATACAGTCAGAGGTTGCCCTTATTAGACTCCTAAAATGTGATGTAATAAATATCTGTCTAGGTAAGGTCTGGCAGCCTGAGTGAACGTGGTTTTAATGTGGCTTATTTCCCTATCATTGACAATGTTGTCATAGCAATGTCAACTGCTGGAGAGAGAATGTGTGTTGTTGCTGCTGATTTCATGCATTAATGTACCAAAGAATTGCTATCAGCTCCTAAAGCACAGGTACAGAATGGGTCTCATTTTCAAGTAGTTTGTTGTTAAATGTAGGTGATTAAATGTTACTTTGTTATCACCAGTCCTTCCTGACCTCTGAATAAAAATCATGCAGAGCTTTGACTAATATTTTTGAAAACCCCTGGTTTAGAGGGTGTCTTCGAGTTAATAGAGTACCTTTAGTTTGGTAGCTTAGGTGGATTGGGACTGTGTATCTCATTTTGGGGTGAAATGGATGGTGATTAAAAAAAAAAAAAAAAGCAAAGAAACACCTCCAGACCCTTCCAATATGGTGCTCAGTGAGCTTTATGAGAACATAATCTCTTAAGGCCTTTCCCTGTGCTCTCTGAACACCAGATCACATACTACAACTGCTAAAAGGAATTGGATCCCACAGGCACTGACACAGTCTGGCCTATTTTGTTTGTTCAAGGCATCAGATGTAGGATTTGTTCTACAGCACACTTGTGATGCTAATGCAAATGCCTTGGACAGTATGTTGGGTTTGAAATGCCAAAACCATGAGGTGGAGGCAGTGAATTTTTCCCCCTCAGTGAGCCAACCTGAATCATCCAGGCAATGTGTCTGATCAAAATAACTGTTTCCTGGGGGTGCTGCATTTCTGCGTCTGTATTCCTACACAATGTCTTAAAATTACATGCATAGGATGCCAGAGCTTAAACACACGACTCCCTGGATGAACTGAAAACATGGATTAAAAGGGGCATCGAGAAATCAGAGGATCTCTGAACCAACAGGAAGCTGACACTACAGTTCCTCTCCTCCTACACAGGTCTCAGATGTCCTCCTACCCCTCACGTCTCCCTAGGGCTGGAGTGGTCTTGCACAAACAAAGTCAGATTGTCATCATCACACAGAGACATAAACCCACTAATTAGCACAGAGATCCAAACAGAGGAGGTTACATCTGGAATGATGTCCCAGCTGTGTTGTTTATTTGTCTTGGAAATGACTCTGTTGTGCTTTAAAAGCTGCAGTAGATAACAAACAAAAATAAAATTTTGTCATATTGGTTTTCACTATATTCTGACAGCAGTACATGAGACAGACAATCTGTGAAAAAAACAGGTTCCTCTGGCTCATTCTAACACTCCTAATGGTATTTGCAAGAATCCACTGGGCATGGATGAAAACAACCAGTCAGAGCCAAGAAAGACACGTTGGGTTGGTGGCTTGAAGACAGTTGATTGTTTGGTATCATTCTGTCTGTATTTGACACCCAGATTGTGTGGCTCTGATTGGTTGTGATTGTAATAGCTAGGCCTTGTGGATTTTTACAAATGCTCTAAGGAACGCCAGAGGAACCAGATTTTTTTCACGGATTATCTGTCTCATGTACTACTGTCAGAATATAGTGAAGGTTTCAGTAAATATGACAAAAAGATTTTTCTTTTCAACATATTTTTTATTAAAAAATATTCTTACTGCAGCTTTAATATTTCTCCAGTCTTCAGTAGTCCTGGCTCAGTTCTTTGTCTTAATGTCTATCCAGCTGGACACTTGGCTCAACTCAGAGCCACTGTGGCCTTTCTGCTGGGACAGAGGCCAAAACCTGGGCCAAAACTGTGACTGCAGTAGGTCTGGCTGCATGTCTGTTGTGGCTGGAGAAGATGTCTGTTTTCAGTTTATTATGTTGCCTGTGTCCTCATTTGGATTTTTGTATGGCATACTATGCAGAAATATCAGTTTTTGCTACCGAGAGCATCAGTATGACCTGTTTCCAAAGTGTAACAAGTGGTAGTGTTGGTGTCTGACTTGGTTTCATTAATTCTGAAAATTCTCAGACATTGTATTAAAGGTACAACTATTCAATTCAATTCAATTTCAATTCAATTTTATTTGTATAGCGCCAATTCATAACAGAAGTTATCTCAGGACACTTTTTAAGTAGAGCAGGTCTAGACCGAACTCTTTAAAACATTAATTACAGAGACCCAACAGTACCACCATGAGCAAGCACTTGGCGACAAGGGCAAGGAAAAACTGCCTGTTAAAAGGCAGAAACCTAGGACAGATCCTCCGGCTCTAGGTGGGTGGTCGTCTGTCTCGACCAGTTGGAGTGAGAGAGGGAGAGAGAGAGAGAGGCAGAGAGAGAGAGAGCGAGAGACAGACAGACAGGTGCACAGCAACAACAGTATTGGCAATGGCAATCTAGCAGGACCATGGCAGGAGGCTCCACCAGGATCGACAAGAACCTGCGAGACGAAAGCACAAGAACTCCGGGGAAGAAGTGAAGTTAGTAACATGCATTAATGGGACATGAATGAGTGCAGAAAGATAGAGAGGGAAGGGAGGAGCTCAGTGCACCATGGGAAATCCCCCGATAGTCTAGGCCTATAGCAGCATAACTAAGGGATGGTTCAGGACTCACCTGATCCAGCCCTAACTATAATTTTTATAAAATATTTAAAAAAAAAAAAACTTTATCAAAGAGGAATGTGCTTAAGCCTACTCTTGAATGAATTGGTGAGGGTTCACCATTTCAAAATAGAATGTTTCTAAATAACAGATCTTGGAGGGAGATGAAGAGGAAATTATGATTTATCACCAAATAGTTTTATCATAAGCAAACAAAGAACTAAGAACTTGGGTGGGAATTTGGGGAAAAAAAAACACAAAGAAAAAAAAAAACCCCCGGAAAAAAAAAAAAAATAAAAAAAAAAAAATTTTTTAAAAAGATCAGTTTTGAAGAGATTGTGTCATTATCAGTTTGAGCCAGGTATGCTTTCATCCTGTAACGTTTATGGATCAGGGTGCTGCTGTTGTGCATGATAGCTCACTGGAAAGGCTCTGCTACACTAAATGGAACGGAACCTTGATTAGTACCATTAACTTAGTAACACCAGTGTTCGCCCTACTACTTCATGTCAAAATGGCTGCTGTGAAAAAGCTCAGCTAAGATTTCAGCTGAATTTGATGATTAAAACTGAATGAACCTGTCAAGATATGAACAATATAGATCAGATGACAGTGTGATTTGGTGATATTGTCCACAGACAGTCCCAAGAATGACTCCTGTACAGCTGCTTACTTCTCCCACAGACCATAACCTGCAGGAGAATACCTGCTACCACTGCTCCTGTGGAGAGGAACCTTTCCATTTTAATGCATAAAAACCAACAGCTGTAACAGCATGAAAAACAACAGACTTCATCCTTTGGTTATTATTTCTACTGAAAAGGAGAGATGAAATTGATGAATACACCTAACAATGACTTTTCTAGATGGATAGACGCACAGACTTTCTCAACAAATAAAGTAAGTTTCCCCTTTAAAAATTTGTATTTGTTAATGTTTAAAACTTTTGTATTTGCTTTGTGTATGTTGTCTGATGTTTCTTGACTTCTTCCTTCTTGCTTTTTTGCTTTTTGGCTTTATTGGCATGAGTATCACAACTACATTATTTCCAAAGCATTTACAATAAATGAAACAAAATAATACATTTCATAAATTTAAACAAGAAAAAAGTAGCACTGTATTTTTGAAAACTGTGTGTGTTGGCATTATTTTGTCTTCATTTGTGTATGCAAAAAGTAATCATTAAACAAACAAACAACAACAACAACAACCAAAGATCATTATGTTCTATTCTAATCTAAACAAAAGTTTCCACTGGTTGTTCTCCGGAGATGGATTTTGCTGGGGATTTCTCCCAGTAAATACATTTCTGTAGGCATATGTGTGGTATTGATTCAAATTTGGCATTTATTCTGGTTCTATGTGATAAGTATTTCTCTCTTAAAGCTTGGACATGAGTGCCTTGGACATGAGTGCCAGTCCTGTTTATGGCAACCTTTCTCTACAGCGAGGCTGTGCTCACTGAGTCTTTACATATATGACTTTTATTTCCATTAGGATTTTTTTTATTGTGGTCAGGTCATTTGCTGATGTGTGTTCTCTTTTGATGGCCAGATAACAGTGTAATTCTATCCAATATGAAACACATTTTTCTCTGATTGTTTCTGATTTGTTTAGTTCTGATTGGGTTGGTGTTGTTGACCAGCTGGCTGAGGGGTGTTCACACACTTGAGATTGTTCCTCTGTGTCAGTGTGGAAGTGCAGTAATTGCCTTAAAAAAGATGCAATCTTCTTTTCTCAGCATGATGATTAAAGCAGGATTGACCCAAGGTATGTGAAGTGATGTTATGAGACCTATTTCATGCATGTCAGTGCTGAGTTGTCGCTGGCAAAACATGTTTTTCTAGTGGCAGATTAAAAGGAGAGCCAACTCACTGGAACCATGCTGCCATGTTTTACCAGACAGCACAAATCTGACTCACACATTTTTTCACATTTTGACATGAAAAATTAGGGTAAACACAGGATACTGATTAAAGTTTTGTTCAATTCAGGTCAAACCGATTCAGAGTGCTGCTGTTGTTTATGTTGAAAAAGGCACTTAAAACTAAACGTTGTGCATAGAAATATGGCTTTATATGTTAAATGTTACTCATTGACAAAAACTCACATGCATTTTTTTTTCAAAACACTTTATTGTCAACAACAGTACAAAAACAAAAGTCTGTATTTACAACACTACTATGGCCTTCTCATCTTACCCTCTTTGGTTTCACTGCTGACCTGATTATTTGAAAAGGAACAAAAGGTATGAGAAAACGATGGACTAGGTGCTTAAAAATACAGACTTTCTGCTTTCATGTCATATAGCTTCGCAACCATCCCACAATCTAATTATACCACAGTAATTCTGAAGATGCATTGGTAACTTCTACATGGTGTTTTAAAAAAAAAAAAGGGTGGACTGTCATCTCTTTGATACAGTTTGTAAAAGTGGCATCCCAAAGACAATCACAAAGTGAAAAGGTCAATTTAAAAGACTGCAATTGCTACTGTCTTGCCATACTAATGGGATTCATGATGCAAAATCATTGTGGTCTACAAAACAGTTCTGTGTGTATCTTTAATCACCACAGGGAGGCGTTAGCCAGATGTAAACTCAAATTTCTTATAAATAAACCTGACTATTAGCTAATAGTCTTAATCCCTACGGATTAACAGATTGTAGGTTGAGGTGAAATGTTGATGCTTCTTTTTTGTCAAGTTATTCATCAGAACACGAGTCATAAATATGTAGATGTATTCAGCAGGTTTACACATTGAAAACTGTAAACTAGTGAACTACAACAATGTTTAGGATTCTACTCAAGCCGTCTTACCAATGCTCTCTTTGGTGGGTCACTGGGCTGTTGCATTATGGGATGAACCAAAGCAAAAATGTAAAATCCAACATCTTTATGCATCTCATCTAATCTGCCAATCTCAATCACTGTCTTCAGTTTGTGTTATCCTTCACACCACTGAGCTAAAAATAACATTAAAACAGCAGAGAAAGAGCTCAGATACTGTATCGCCTGATCCACTGTCATGTAACTCTCCTACCGTACAGTACCTTTTCAACACATGATGCCTTCTGTGCAGGCTTATAAAAACAATTATCTTGCATGCTGCAGCATCGCTATCCAGGTAGGTTGCACACAGAATATAAATACATCAAAAACACAAAAAATAGAATTCAGACCTGGCATCAGTAAAGCTCTTCCAAAATCAAAACAGCAAGTATTAAAATCTACTCCAAAAACCTACCAACCTCTAGGAGCTGTAGAGCAGACAGGTGAAGACATGATGACAACAATGTAGTGTATTAAACTAAACAACATGATCTTCAAAAAGAAGAAAATTATGGCAGAACATACTTTTGCATTTCTTACAAGTTGTTGCACGTTTCCGGTGACTTATTGCCTTTTCATTTCCTTTTTTTATTTTCAGAAATTATTTAAATCATTTCAAATTATTTGCAACATAAAGCAATTAAAAAGTCCCTCCTGAGACAAACAACAAAATATCAACCAAAGCAACTTATGTTCCATTTGCTGAATGCCAATTTACAAATGCAATTTAAAACACAGTATGGGGCCGATCCCTAGTATCGAGCAGTAACTCATTACTAGTAATAATATTACAGTAATATTACTTTCCCCAGTAACTAGTAGTGTAACTAATTACTAATACATTTCAGTAATAATATTAGTTACCCTCCCAAAAAAATAATTAGTTACAACCTTAGTTCCTTATTTTTGTTGTCACCTCCCTGCTAATTTGAAATCCAACAATCCAATCACATTCATAAATTCACTTTTGTAATCGTAGAGAGAACTACCTTGGAAGATGGAAACACTTCCATTACTTTGATTTTAACAAACAAAACACTACTACCAATCTTATGGGGAGTATAGCAGACAAGTAATATAACTAGAAGTGTAACTAATTACGGTTGGCAGGGAGTAATAATTAAAGTAATAATATTAAAAGAGCAATAAATAAAATATTTGAGTAACTAGCACAACACGGCCAATCACACAGAGATGCATTGCTAGAAATGGATCAGCAACAAAACCATTGTTTTGGGTACAGTGCGCCTGGTGTGTGCTCCTCTCTTGCATCGCATGTTTTTCTAGTGGTTTTTAGACATGCATTAAACTATTTCCAACTTTTCAGATCAAGGCACGGATCACATCATTCATTAATGTCACACTTGGTCCAGACAGCCAATGAAATCAAACAAGAGGCGGGCTTTACTACTTTACCATTTACTTCCCATTTCATTCTGTTTACTATGGCGGTAAACAGGTTAGCTAGCTAGCTAGCTGTTGGACTATGAGAGAACTACAGAGCAGGGATGTAGTTGCGATACTATGTTATCCACTTCTACAGCGCTAGAGTTTACTCTTCTAGAGCCCGACGTCTGCTGAAATCTGTTAATCAGTCCCTACAGGAAGTTGCAATGTTGCGATCACAAACGATTAATGCAAATTCAATCATTCCCTATGAATTCTGTACGACTTATAATTCTGTCCAATCAAAGCAACTTTTCAACAAATGACCAATCATTGCAGTTTCCTGCGCAAAACAGTGAGTCCATACGCCACCAATCTCGCTTCCTCGTTTCTAGTTATGAAGATGCAGACCGTGCAGATGTGTGGCGCAAACGTTTCACATTTACCCTCATAATCCTGAGCCTTTTTCAGTAAAGTTACTTGGAATTCTCCAAACAATGAGATGTTATAACAAGCTGCCATCAGTATAATAACAATAATTTTGCAGTTTTCACTTTCACTTCCAATTTCATTGCAAAAAAAGCATTGCAACATGCACTGCTGTGAAATCAGGCATTTTAGGCCGCAACAATCCAAAAAATCCTGAAGGGACTGGTTAATCAGTTTTTCCCGACGCACTTTGCCAAGGCGTTTTTGAAGTGCCTGTCGTGATGCTTCTCTGTGTGATTGCCTTTCTTCATTTCTTTTGGGTTACAGTTACAATAAACTGCATGTACAGAAATCATTCACAGTACATCCAGTCCAATACAATGTATATAACAAGGACTGTTCTGTGATTGGCATCCATTAACTAGATATTCAGACAGTCCTTTGGCCAGTGTTTCAAACAAAGAAAACTTAATTGAGGAGGTTATGGATATGTTGAGGTTATCTTCTGAAAAGTTTGAGGACAGCTTGGGTAGAGGTTATACAGCAGTGAAGTGTCTTTTTCTTTGTGCAAATGGTTTTCCACACACAGCGCACAAAAAAATAAGAACAAAAATGAACATTGGCATGCTCAGCCAGGGCACACACATAATTATGATTTGCTATACAGGCCTTTAAAAAGTGTACAAGGAATTTACATTCTTTAAAGAGATTCAAGAAAAAAAAGAACAAAAGAAAAAAAAATCCTAAAGAAAAAACTAAGCAACAAAAAAAAAACCCCACCACACAGCCTCACAGAATCGCTCAAACGAAACATAACAGGGAGCATTCACCAGGAACACAAAAAACAAAATGGCACAGTAACACGAGGCAGCCTCAGTGCAACTTCAAACAGTGAGGTGGGACAGCAGGCTGTGGGCAGGACTTAGTGGAAAATTACTCTGATTGTTGCTGCTTGTGTGGAGCCTGATGGAGCGCGTCAGCAGCCGACTGGGAGTCTGTAGTTCTAATGTTGCAAGCTGCTTTCAACTTCTTCTTCCCCACAAAAGACATACATTGGAATATAGTCATTAACAACAGTCATTTCAATAATGATAAAGATTTTAACATATGAAATACATAAAAATACACACTTATTCAAATTAATCTTAAAGGTTAATTCCAGTTTATGATAACCTAGATCTCGATCTATTTTTGGCCATTAGTCCGATCCAAAGACTAATTAAAAATGGATGTAGTGACATCACACATAGGTTTCTGAAGAGCCGTTGTATAGCTCAGTGTGAGCTAACATCTTAGCCGTCCTGATTCCAATCCAAAAATGGGCAAAGAGGTAGCAAGTGGGTCTGGCTAAGGTAGGCTGAATGAAGCCTGGTTACTAAAAAGAGGCTGTGACAGCACCCACCTGTCACTCAAAGTAACCATGCCCTTAACTTGCATAACTTTAAGCCTTAATATAATTTAAACAGGTGAGTTATATACAAATTCACCCCCTGTACAGTTGTGATAAACAATGAAATTGTACAAAAAGCGTTTTTGTACCAGGCTGTAAATTTCTGCTGTATGGCCTTATGGAGATTGACTCCCTGCTGGAGATGGCCTCAGGTGGTCATTAGAGGAACTGCAGTCTTTGGCATTTTTGCTTAATTTTGAGGGTTGCATCTTGGTCCTATCAAATATGACAACCTTGTACACTTTAGCTTAGACATTCTTTTTCTAGAGTGACATGATCTCAAAAGGCCTATGAGAAAGCAGACTGAAAATATTATTATTATTAATAAAACAGTAATTTAGGTTGTCAGCCATTTTTGCAGTCTACACAGCAATCTGTAAAATGCCAATCACATTTTGTTGACTATTTTTGATAAACTTTTATCTATAGCTATAAAAAAAGCATTGATCCCGTTCTGATGTTTAACAATGTTGCCATGTTATGAGATCTCAGCTAATCATTTGCTTTGCACTAATAGGACTGATGGCCAAACCTATAAGAACTCCCAAACATAAGATACAAGTTGTGATAAAATGGATTAATCTGATCTGAAATGTAACTTGATTAGATTCCGCCTGTGTGTGTGTGTGTGTGTGTGTGTGTGTGTGTAAGAGAGAGAGAGACAGTTCTTACCTCTTTCATCCCCAGTAGTACGGCCTGAGTGCCTTTACACAGTGTGATTGTTCTCCTCTAGTTTCTTGCTCTCCTCAGATGTCCCCACCTCCTTCTCACCAGTTTTCCAGCTTCCTTGTCTGTTGTAGTGAATACAACACAGAATTGCAAAAGCATGATGCTTTTCTCTGGGAAATGGTAAATGGACCTGTACTTGTATAGCACCTTTCTAGTCTTCCAACCACTCAAGCACTTTTACACTACATGCCACATTCACCCTTTCACACACATTCACACACAGATGACACAGCATCGGGAGCAATTTGGGGTTCAGTATCTTGCTCAAGGATACTTCAACATGTGGCACCAGGAGCCAGGGATCAAACCCACAACCTTCTGATTAAGGAACGACCCGCCCTGCTACCGAATAACCTCCTCACTCCGCCCCAGATGGCATGGTCAGTCACTCCACAGCTGTGTGCTAACTCTTCTTTTCAATATGCGCACGCCACCTTCCCACTTCCTCCCCTAGTGCTCTGAATACCTCCCACCCTACATTAGCACTTCTTGGACACATGATCATTTTAGGGCAGACAGGAGTGTTTGTTCAATGTTTTGTTGGAGAGTGTGGCTGTAACCCTCTGCTTATTATTCCAGATTCACTCTCAGGAGTACAAACTCTGGTTTCTCACTCTGTTTGGAATGCAGTAGTGTCACCAGGACTTGAGCAGGGGCCTTGAAATTTAAATGTAAAATGCAAATGTTCCCATTCCTTCATTCTGCACTCATTCATGTTCCATTAATGCATGTTACTAACTTCACGTCTTCCCCGGAGTTCTTGTGCTTTCTCATCTCGCAGGTTCTCATCGATCCTGGTGGAGCCTCCTGCCATGGTCCTGCTTGACTGGCATTGCCAATACTGTTGTTGCTGTGCACCTGTCAGTCTGTCTGTCTGTCTGTCTGTCTGTCTGTCTTTCTCTCTCCCCAACAGACGACCACCCACCTAGAGCCGAAGGATCTGTCCTAGGTTTCTGCCTTTTAACAGGCAGTTTTTCCTTGCCCTTGTCGCCAAGGTCTTGCTCATGGTGGTACTGTTGGGTCTCTGTAATTAATGTTTTAAAGAGTTCGGTCTAGACCTGCTCTATTTGAAAAGTGTCCTGAGATAACTTTTGTTATGAATTGGCGCTATACAAATAAAATTGAATTGAATTGAATTGAAATACCTTGAATTCTTTATGTACAGCCAGTAGACGAGTCCCACCACGGCGGCAGCGAAGAGGAGCCCTACAACGACACCCACTATGAGCTTGGCCTGGTCCTTTGAATCGTCCTGAGGGTCTGAAAATAGACAACAGTGCTCTGCTTCAGCTGCAGGACTAACACACACTGTACTCACACAGAAGCTTTACAAGAGAGAGCACTAAAAGGAATTCACTTTTAACTTGATGAGAGCACAGACATCAAAATCATAACATGTGTCCTAAGAAGCTCATTCTCTGTGATGTTAGCTTGGTCCCAGCACCTTTTCAAACTCTCCTCTGCTTGCACTCATTTATACTCAAGCCATAAACTTTCACTGGCTGACACTTTATCACGCAACACTTTACTGCTTTGTCTTGTGTTTATAGTTTAGCGACTTGTTCTCGTTGTTACCGCAGTGACACGAGTTGTTTATATTCTGGGAAACATCTGCAGCACGTGCTGAAATGTTGGAGACTCTGGGGGAGGAGATGTTGGCTGGCGTGCTGCTTAATGGAACAGGAGAGATGTATCAGTGTGTCAGGGAGACGAGAAAATGCATTAATGTCAGAGCACCTGCTAACTGTTTTGACGTTCGGCTCCATCACATTTATATATTATATTATTATTATCGTCACTCTCCGTTCTCTCTGCAGATTAATGGCAGCTGTGCTGTAGATGCCAAACGACGCTATCTGACACTACAACTACAACGGAGAGCAGGTGTGTGGAATGCATCACCGTCGTGAATAATGTGTATATCCTGTAGACCGACACTTTGTCACTACAGTATAATTAAGGGTTAAACTGACTTGTTTTGTTGACAGAATTTGAAAATGGCTGGTGATAAGAGGCTGTTTGCAGCTACAGATCACTGTTTAACAGATGGAAACATGATTACTCATCTGACAGTTTTAAACTCAACCATATGTATCTCCATCAGCTGCACTGAGTTACTGAAGGTTCATCGTTTACATATGTTGTGTCAATCTAAATGTCTCACTATTTGAATACCATATAATGTACTTAAAATACAATATACTTCGAATGACTAGTAGCTCACTATCCATGTGTATATTTAGTTTATATGAAGGCATTATAGGTGATGATCGGCACATAAAGATACTGTATAGTGGAGTCATGGTGTCACACTACCTCTGCCTGTGGTCAGGGTTTGATGGTCACATTTGTCCCCAAGGATTAACATTAAGATAAGATGTTCCTTTATTGATCCCCAGTGGGAGAAATTCATAGGGTAAAATGTAGTGCAAAAAGTACAGTGTGTAAAATTAGCTTATGTTGCGGCCATTGCATCTCTTTTTACAAATATTCTTGGTGAATTAAGGGTTTATTTCGACCAAATCAGCGTTGATGACTGTTGGAAAGACAAAGCCTGTTCTATTTTGTTTCTCTCCTACTGTCTTGACCTGAGATGCTGGTGTTCTAACATGAGTGGCAAGTAAATTTCATGTATATAACCTGTAAAATTAAATATCAGTAACAACCCTAAATAACCATTTCTGCTGATATTACCCTTTAGATGACACTTTGATTATGTACATACGAGACAAGTATGTCTGTGGTTGTTGCTATTTTCAATGATTGCTCAGCATCAGAATATGGAAGAAGCCAGGTCGCATTCCTTCAACACTACAAATGTAATTGCCCATCTTAAGATGCCAACATCTGGCATCTCTATTTGATGACTATGTTTTTGTCACTTAAGACAACTATGCACAGGCCTTTAATAACCATCAGGCACTGTTGATAATATTTCTAATCTGCCTCTGAGAGTTCCTCTGCATTTGTTAACCAGTCTTAAAAAAGGTAACAAAGATGGAAAAGTTGAGATGAGGTGTTCATACACTGTATTGTCAGCAGGTGAGGTGATGAATATGGGTCTGAGTTTATACATGAAGAGAGAGTGATGGGTGTTTATTGGTGCATCATCAGAGAATCTACAAAGATAAGTTGACAAATAATAACATTTTCTATGATACTACCCCTATTTGATATATTCGAAGGGAATACTTAACAGAATCTCAAAAAACTCTAGAAAGTAAAAGATAAGGGCAAAAAAAAAAACTCTTACCTGATTTCCCATTTTTCTCCTCAAAAACTGAAATCAAACATAAATAAAATTAGAACTCATAAAAAAAAAAAAGCTCAAAACAAACATATGCTATTTTTCTAAAACAACCCAAAGCATTCACAGTGAGAGCAGCCAGGACAGGTGCAGCCGCACAAATTGAAAAGTTTTATTGATTGAGCCTCACAGCAAGCAAACTGTACCTTTTAGAAAGAGGAAAGCTACGGTGCATTCTAAAAGCAACAATGTATTCTACTTTAAGAGAATATGCCCGTCAGTGGCTCTTAGACTGCAGGGGAAGAAATGTGACACGGGTTTAGCACCCTAACAAACAGGAAATCCAGCCAAACCCAGGAGATGGTGAAGGAGTTGAGACAAAAGGAAGGAGGATTATTGCAGACAGAATGAGGAGGAACAGCAATGGCAACAGCATGTATGAAATGAATGGATACTGCTGTAGCATTCACCGTTAGCCTTTGACAGTCATTAAATACTCCTGCTTTTTTCATCCCAGTAACCGTAGTTGGCAGAGAGTAGGGAGTGTATGTAAATGTTTCACATAGGCACATCCTGCAACAGTTCGATTCAGCATTCAACAACTGCTGCTGATAATAGGTTCAAATGGCTCGTAGAAAATTATACAGGGCTCTCAGAGAAAGGAAAAAACTACTTCTAGTAGGGAGGGATAGTTCAGTTTTTTTGAAGTGGGGTCATATGAGGTAATCATCCATAGTCAGTGTGTTACCTACAGTATGGCAGAAAAAACCCACTATTTTAGCCACTAAAAAGGCCCAATGTCAGTAAAGGTGCTATATTAAAAATATTCTAGGCTCTCTCTAAAGCCACCAGACTAAACCAGATATAAACACTTCAGTGTTCCGTCAGATTGGGCTGTCTGACGGCAAGGTAAAGCAGTGAAAATATTCTTAATATAGCCTTTTTTAGTGGCTAAAATATGTTTTTCTGCTGCCCCCACCCACAGCAGTACATTGCCTAGTGTCTGTGCCGATAGTCCTGTCTGCTTCCCCAAATTGAGAGCCATCTGACTTTGCTTTATCATACAACACTGCTACAAAAAACTTCAACTCATCCTTTAAAGACTGTTTTTTTGTAACAGCAACCTTTCTAATAACAAAAAGTACAAATCAAAGTTGGACTACAGTAGACGCGACTAATTAGTCTAATAATAGCAGAGCCTAGTATGGTGCAGTACAATTGTTGTTAAAACATCTGCAGTGATTCATTTGTAAAGCTGCAAACAATAGCAGTGTGATGAGTAGAGACTTTTTGTCAGAATGTTCTCAGTGTTCAACCACAATGCTACTGTGATGTGAGCTGAAAATGTAAGAACACTGCTGATCACTTGTATTTACTGCTGAAATAGGTTTTATCAGGGATTAACTCATTCACAAGTCATTCTTCATACTTATATTGTGTATATATATGTTTTGCTTAAATATAACGGCTATAATTTCAAGATCCCCCCCATGTATTATGGTGTAAATATAAATAGTCAGAACAGGAATTGCAATGTTACAATGAACATTCATTATTAAACTGAGTTTGCAGCTGAAAGCTCCTGGCAAGATCCTCTCTAACTGTAAAGTCACACACTGGCAGTAATACAATCATCAAGTCACCAGCAGCTTGCTTGTTTCCTACAGAGCTGAGCTGCAGAAAACGATGTAGAGCGTCAAAGAGAGAAGCTGTCACTATACAGCAAATGTCTGCGAGTCCTTGTTTTAGGAACATTCAAAACCGTGCATGGAGAATGGATGCATCTGAGCTTAAATTTTATTCCACTAATTTGTCTCTCTGTTTTCAACTAATGCTGCCTAATTAGCCTAATACATGAACTCAAACAACAAAAGGCAGTACCCCAGCAGAGCAAGTCAAAATACACCATGTTTCTGTTCAAAGCTGAAACTTCCCCCGCACAGAAGCATGCACTTCTCTCATTTCCCACAATAGGGAATATAAAACTAACCATCCAAGTCGGTGACAACTTACCAGAGGAGACATTGATGGTCATGACATCTTCTCCCAGCTTATTGCTGACAGTGCAGGTGATAGTCATGTTCAGCCTGGGAATCACAGTGATCTTATGGGTGGCCTTGCCGTTGATGTAAGAGCTCTCCTCCTGTAGGCACAGAAAAAAAAAAAACAGGAATATAAGGCTTCAAAAAATGTTTGGGAAAAGAAAAACTCAAACACGTAGCAGCCTCCTCAGTTGCATACACATTATCAGCTTTACAATTATACAGGATAGTTTGTATATTGCTTGGCAGGTGGGTGATTGCGGGACGGTGGGAAGACAGATAATGGGAGGAAATTACCACAAATGTTGACATCAGACAGTGGAGCTGAACTCAATATGCCGGGGGAGTCGTTAAAGGTAAAACAGCACAGTCATTCTGAATGCAGAAGTAAACACCCGCTTCCCTGCCATCAAACCTGAATCTAATAGAGAAATGTTGCCTCGTTGTCAGAGCATTACCTGCTCGTGGAAGAGTTCATCACAGATCATCTTGATAAGAACATTATTTATTAGAGAGAATCGTGTTCTGCACTGAGGCTGGATATCATCCTCACAGTGTGCTTGTCTTAGAGATTTCTTGGCTAATTCAAATAACTGAGGTTTAATGGAAAATGTTTCCAAGTTTTATTCCTTCTTAAATAGATGTGCAACATTGTTTGCATTTCCATTGATCTCTCAAAATCCAGACCGCAGCCAGGGTTGTGACAGTGCACCACCATCTTTGATCAAGCCTTGTAAAAACCTAGCATGAGATATTGCATACTGTCACCAGTGACAACTATGTATCTAGTAGAAATGGTAGAGAAGAGTGAAAACCTCAGAAGCTCTCTTTACTTTAATGGCAAGAGCAGAGGGAAATCTGAAGGCTCCTCAAAAAACACTTTAATCACACCACGCTGCACTGTTTGCTCTTATCTTGCTTCACTTTGCTGCTTTTGCCGCAGCTCCTTCTTTTTCACTAAAGATACTAAAACACTCACTCATCCACGCTCCGACACTTACGTTCGTGTTGTTGACGCTCCATTGGAAGCTGGGTTCTGGCACTCCCTCGGCCTCACAGGTCAGAACTTTGTGCTGAGCATCGCCGGTGCTGTGTTCGGTTAGGCTGGTGATCACAGGCTTTCCTGATGGAGACGCATTATGATGTTTTTAGTTCAGTAACGTTTTATCTCAAGCAAATAATTCATTTGATGTACATCGCAAATTATACGACCTCCAGCTTTTTGCAGAGGGGAAAGCAGGATGCCCTGATGGATTTCAACTATTGAATTGGCTTCAGTTATGAAAGAGAGATGCACTAGGAAGTGAAAACGCAGTATGCAAGCTGTCTCAAGGTGGGGGTTAAATACTGTATTCTTAACATTTTGTTCAGTCAGTGAAAATGTTCAAATTAAAATGTTTATAGTATAATCTACTTTTGAGACTTAAAATCCCATTTTTGTTAAAGAATTTCAAAGAACAGAACATTGTTCAACTAAATAAGTTGCCTATATTTGGATTAGCTAGGAGTCGGCGGAGTCAGGACTGCCAAGATGGCGATGGCCAGAACTGACCTCACTGAGCTTCACAACGGCTCTTCAGAAACCTATGGGAGACATGCATGCCACATTCACCCATTCACACAGTGATGGCAAAGCCCATCAAACGGAATCTAACTCATCAAATCAAACTCCTTCATTAACATTCATACACCCATGCACAGCATCAGCTGCAATTTGGGGTTAGCTACTTGCTCAAGGACACTTCGACATGCAGCGGGGAGGAGCCGGGGATTGAATCGTCAGCCTTCCAATTAGTGGATGACCCGCTCTACCTCCTGAGCCACAGCCATACCCTAAATGACTGCCAGTCCATTGATAAACGGCTCATTGTAAGGTAAAGGATTCTTATATTCAGGTGATTATACACTAATAAAAACATACCGATGAATATCTATTCTATTTCTGCCAACAGAGCCTCCTAAATGTTACACACTGGACCTTTTTAAGAGCAACCACCTCTTGTGAGTGTAGAAACCTTTTTGCGAAATTAAGAAATGTCTTTCAATTTTGTTTCCACCAAACTTTTTGAATATGATATTTAAAATACATTGCTGGAACTTATAACACACACTTACTCACCTTCTACGACCAGTTCAAAGCTCTGGTGTCGTGTGAGTCCAGTCAAGGAAACCTCACATACAAAGATTCCCGCATCAGCATAGCTCAACTTGCTGAACTCCGGCTCCTTCACTGCCTTTCCATTCTGAAAACCAGAGCAACAATGTCAGTCCGGTCTTCTGAAGAAAACTTATGAATGCTAGTTTTATTTTTCTTTACAGGAGTTCAGGGTCACAGGAATGTTCATTTCAGAACTCAATGGGGAAATACAGAAACCATTATGTGGAGCTACTGAAATCTCAGTATAAATGTGATGACACTGTCTAATCTTCAGTGTTTTATCACTGTCTTTTTCTCATATCTACCTATATCCTATTTTTGCTGCTGCAGTGACCTAGACTCAAGAATCGCCTGATCTTACTTTTCATTATGTTTTATACTAGACTGAACTGACACAGTATATCAACTATATCTTACTAGGATTTCTTTTAACAACAGTGTCCCTTTCCCTGTGTATTAATGCACCATAATGTGTTTTCTTTTTTGTTTTTGTAGTTCAGCTTGTCAGACGCACAGTGTAGAATAAATGGATTGACGCTACCATGCCGCTCCTGAGGGCTTTGAAGGAAAAAGAAATCATCAGGGTCAGACTGCTATTCACAGTGCATAAAAGCTTCTGCAGTCAGGTTTAATTACTAGCTAAAGAGAATGAAATAGGTAGTGGAGCAAATCCTCCTGTTCTTCCAAACTCCTTCTACATTTTGACGCCACCATTACCTTTGTCCACAACACTGTAGCGTCACCCGAGGCAATCTTCTCCATCTTCACAGACAAGCTGTCCCCTACTGTCTTCAGAACCTTCCCAGTGGGACTCAGACTCAGGTCCAGATCTGACAAAATGAGACAGAATAGACGTTGAGTCATATCAGTCGGCTGAAAGTAAGCACTTTCATTTTGCTGCCTCTATGGTAACATCATTCCGCTCTAATGCCACAAGGCCCACACTCAGACACAACTGTCTGCTGAGAGTTCAGCCTTTATGTCTACTTTTCTGGAGAACCAAATTATTTCTTTGAAACAGGTCTGCAAATAAACCAACAAAAAACAAACAATAAGAAAATAAATAACATTTATTTAGTATTTACTTATATAATTCATGTCAATTGTCTGCTGACCTCATTTAAGTAAGTAGTAAGAAGTAAGTAGTAAGACTCTAAGCTTGAGATAGACCTATCGTCACCCACTGGTTTGTGGAGAACCACCTCCAGTTTGGTATTACGGCCGTCACCATGTTGTATTTTGCTGTTTTTCATTCACAGATCTTGAGGTTAGAGGTGAAGGATCCATCACCAAAATTGAAGATAACTTTGGAGTGTTATTTAGGCCCCTTTCCTACTTGCTAGCATGACATGGTTGGTACCAATGGATGTGGTGTTAGGTAATCTACTTTCTTATGATACCAGTATCTTCACTCTAGAATGGAGCCTGCTACAGCCTCTAAAAGATGTGCAGAGTGGAAGAGGTGGAACCGCCTCTAGCCTAGACACAGGAGCACACCATCACAAAAGTTGCCATGATTATGAAACATGATAAAACTTAAATAAATGAAATGAATCGAGGGCGTTTACAAATGTCTTAATACGAGTAAATTGGTGATCACGAGCAGGGACAAAACAACGTTCTTCCCGTCCTTTCATTGCTTTGTAGTGTTTAATAAGAGCATAAATGAACCCCACGCTAAGTGCATGTGTGCTAAATGTGAAAAAGCTAATCAGCAGCAGCTAAGTTGTGTGGGAAATGTCAGTAATGGCTTCTCATTTAGTTAATACATCCCACCATTATTGTTTCCTGTTTATTTCCCATTTAATATAACTAGAGCATGGAAAACATAATGCCCAAACATACATATAGATGAATATTTGACGATATTTGAACTCAAAAACCTTACATTATAGTGGCACATGAGTAAAGCAATGAACAGAAATATCTATCTTAAGAGTCATTAGAAATCAATAAATTCTTCTTCATGTCTGTTTTCACTAAAATGTGGCCACAACAGATCATTAAATAATTTTTAGTTGAACACATTTTTTAAATGAATCTAAATGAATGTGTTCAATTTGACGGCTGCCATCCCTCTAGATCCACCCCGGCAAGTAAACTTTTTACTGGCATTTGTGTGTGAGAGCAGGGCTTGCTGTTTTGGGGGGTGCAGTTCATCATGTAGCTTTGGCGGGAAAAGGGGAAAAAGAATGCCATCATACAAAGGGTATTAAATGGCAGAGGACATTAGCAATACTGGCAGCCAGCTAGCCAGAGCAACAGCTACTTTTTCTGCACCTTTTCTACCAGAGCACGCTCCTTGAGACGCATCCAAACACACAGTCACAAAAATTACCTTTAAACAATTTTCAATTTAGAGAGCTATTGTTTTGCTTTCCTCAGTCACAAACTCAATTTAAAAGCAAAAAAAAAAGAAGCTCTTTGTTTAAGATGTGTGAACTCCACTGAAGACTGGGACGGAGAGGAGGGGAAATGTGTCAGAGGTATTTTTTATTATAATGATAGGGCCCATTTCAACTGAGGGCTCAGAAACATACACCTGGGAAGAAGGGAGTAATTACTTCAGGGAGTGCTGCTGGATGGTAGGATGGGGAAAACAGCTTATCAGTTTGCCTGAGCTCCTCGCCCACCCAAAACACTTTGTCACTTTTGCTCACTCGATGTCAGAAATTTCTAATTAGTTCTCGTCCTCCCTGCCTGGCACTCCATGCTCTGCCTCCCTGCCAGGCTGGGCTCTTAAAGTCTGAATTTGATTACCATTACTCTGCTGCTCCCATGACTTTATTTACAGTGAATAAAAGTGCCTTGTTATGTATAAGAAGTTAAACATTTTCAATCAAGGCAGAGAGAGTGTGGGGGAGAAGCGAGGGACATCAGATGGAGGTTTTTGTTTGTTTGTTTGTATACTGTACTGAGGCTCTGCGTATGTCAGAAGTACTCACAGCTAACAAGGATGTTCTGGGAGGCCTCCACTTTCTCGTTGTCAGCCAAAGAGCATTTGTATTCACCCGCAGCCTCCCTGCTGATGGCATTCAAAGTGTAGGTGTCCGAATTTTGCACCAGCATTTTCTCACCCTGTTGTAGAGAGAAGAAGAGGAGAAGAAAGAGGAGACTGTTAGCTTCTGCCATTCTAATATGATATGAGGAAGTGAGTAGGAAATAGGGTGACCAGATGAGAATGGGTGAAATTCGGAGCAGGGGAGTTTGGGGGTAGTCACGTGGCAACATATTTTGAGTGAGGATGATATGAAACTAAGTGTCCTGGCTGTTTTTACAAGACACATGAACCATTACACACAGGTGACAGGTATGTTAGTCATTTAAACGTCTTCTCAGCAGCTAAGATTGTCATTCAGCTATAGGAGACTACAAAAACATTTTCTAGATGTACTTATTACAAATTCTTCCCATAGTGCCGATTACCCTATCATCTGGTTTGAAACAGGTTGAATGACATCAACAATCCATTATTTATGAAAGGCTAAGCAGTGCAGTACTGCAGTAGACAAGTGAAAACACATCAATAATTATAATATATGCATATAAATATATATTATCTTATGTAATTAAACAAGATGTAATTTGAAAGTAAAGTGTAAAGTAATTTTGATTAGAATATTACATATACAGATTCAGAAAGTAAAAAAACGACTTGATCTACTAATTTATGTAAACTAATTGAATATAATAAAAGGGTTCTCTTATTTGAATTTAGTCTTCTTTATTCTAGTGACAGCAGCATCTACATTCTACATTATTTTATTAATTATTCATGACAGTTTTGCTTCAAAATACAGAGTACTTTCAGCACAGCATTTTCAATATTACTGAGTCACCAAGTCAGGTCTCCTCAGTGTTTTTGCCTTCAAATCCCAAGTCAAGTCGAGTCTCACAGTGTACAGACAGCTTTCATTTTAGCTCCTTCATACTATCCATAACTATAACGGTTAAAGCTGCAGTGGATAACTTGTAACTTGTCATATTTGCTGAATCTTTCCCATTATCCTGACAGTAGTACATAAGACAGATAATCTGTGAAAAAAATTAGGTTCCTCTGGCTCCTCCTACTGCTCCTAATAGGATTTGCATTAATGGTAAATGAACTGTACTTATTACCTTGTGTAGTCTTCTGACCACTCAAAGCACTTTACTAAATGTCACATTCACCCATTCACACACTAATGGCAGAGGCTTATCACAAACAGACACTAATTCATTTATACACCAATGGCACAGCAACGTGAGCAATTTGGGGTATCTGATTAGTAGATGACCTGCTCTACCTCCTGAGCCACAGCTGACCAAAAAGCCACAGCAATAACTCAAAAGCAGCGAGTAAAATACTTAAAATTTTACCATCATCATCAAATTCTAGTATCTTCTCCACTTTCAAGCCAATTTTTAAAAAAAGCAAATTTGTGGTAAGTGGTAATAAGTAGCTGCCACAGTCTGGATGGTGGCTGAGCAGACCGCAGCAGTACGCTGCTTGAGGTTGAAGTCCGGGCTCTGACTGACCTTGAGGTGGAAGTAGAAGGAGCTAGGTGGAGGGTTGCCGTCAGCGTGACACTTCAACGTCACATTATCTCCTTCTACTACGGGTCCCTTGGACATGACTTGGAGGCTAACCTTCTCTGATGGATCTGAGAGGTTCAGAGAGCAATGGAGGGGTGAAAGTGATGGGAGAAAATAAAGCAAGCGTGAGTGTCAAAGCTTCCATTGACTTCCATTGAAATAATTCACATTCACACCGCATCAGTTCCACCATCAAGAAAACAGATGCATCTTTTTGTGAAGATAAAACCACATTATTATCATCACTGATTATAATTGTTGCTGCTGTTTGCGTTCCCAGAGACACAAATTATTTCCTGGCTGTATACGTGTATGTATATGTATACAAATAACTGTATTTATTGTTCTATTTGATTTGTGTGTGGTTTGAAGGCACTGCAAACTTTCATTTTGTTGTACAACCTTGTGTTGTATAATAACTACATTTCCTCCATCCTTGATAATCATTCCATTTCAGAAAGGTGATCCTATCAGTCTTTGATCAGCCAATTGTGTAGACCACCCTCCTCACACAGGAATGACCTCGGAAGAAGTAGTAATAGCAAATGAGAAATTCCACCATGAACCCGCTGCGGCCGACACCTCATGAGTCACCCCGCTGCTGCCGACACCTCCTGAGTCCCCCCGCTTTCATTTATTGATCCGAGCCCTCACTCCGTCCCCTCTTCAAACTTCAGGGATGTGATCAGAGCATAAAGAGTGTGCGGACTGTAATTCCCTGCTGAAATTCCCCCAAACCCTCAAATCCTGAAAAATCCTTCAGCTGGCCGCAGCAGAAAGCTCAACAAAGCCCATTGTTCACTGCTTGGCCATTATGTGTAGTTTCCAGAGCCTACTGATAAAGCGCCTCTGACGACAAGTTGTTCAGGCCTACACACCTCCAGGTACTCAATCAACAACTATCTCAAGCTAACACAGGCTGAATAGAAAACACTGCCATCCACACACCAAACCATGGCTATGTGGTAGATTTATTTTACTGTTAATAAAGACAGGATAAGTTTCCCTATTTCAGAGCCTATACATGTATATGATCAAATAAATCAAATAAAAGTATTTCACTCTATCTGCATTACACATCTCACAGCTAGACTTGCTCATGACCTCTCGCCACAAAAACAGTTTCTTTCCGTCTGCAGTTGGCCTCATTAACAAGGGCCAGATCCCCCACTGTCACTGACTCTTATGCCCACCCTGTATATATGCATTACATTAATGCACTCCCGTCTTCTGTACAGTTTTCTTATCTTTCTTTATTTATATTTATATTTTTAAAAAGTGTGATTTTTGTGTGACTTGTATATTTTTGTGTGATTGTATATTTTAAGCACCATTGCACCAAGATAAATTCCTCGTATGTGTAAAAACCTACCTGGCAATAAATCTTATTCTGATTCTGATTCTGATTCTGTTTGATTCCTTCACTCTAAAGTCACTGCTGGAGTTGGCTAATCAGAGCAGTTTGCAGCATTTAAACTGGAAAATGGAGCCTTCTATTGTCAGGCAATCAGTCCAGTATAGGATCACATTCACATTAGCTATTTCAACTCAGCCTTTAACTATATTCATCAGAAAGAAGCTGAGGAGCAATTTTCTAATCATCGTGTATGTGGAGAGAATATGCCTGGATGCACTTTTTAACTGTGCTGTTGCTCCACTTGAGCATTTATGTCTTCATAGTCTTGCCCATGGACATGTAAATGTTCATGGACACAACTTGATCTCGGAGACTGAAATTAATTTTCCTTTATGAAAAAGCTTGTATTTAAATTAAAATTTTGAGTACTGCTTGAAGAAACGAATTTGGACATGAAGAACACATTCATACCGTGCAAGACAAGGGATATACCCCTACGAAAGGAAATATCAGTTATACAGCCTGATGTCACCTCAGCAAAAAATAAAATCAGTGATGAGTGGGAGATTTTTGGTAAAACTTTTAAACTCCTTTGAGCACATTACTGCTGTTAAAGCTGCAGATTATTTTTATAAAAACGTTTAATTCAGTTCAATTTAATAAAATTTTATTTGTATAGCGCCAATTCATAACAGAAGTTATCTCAAGACACTTTTCAAATAGAGCAGGTCTAGACCGAGCTCTTTAAAACATTAATTACAGAGACCCAACAGTACCACCATGAGCAAGCACTTGGCGACAAGGGCAAGGAAAAACTGCCTGTTAAAAGGCAGAAACCTAGGACAGATCCTTCGGTTCTAGGTGGGTGGTCGTCTGTCTCGACCAGTTGGGGTGAGAGAGAGAGAGAGAGACAGACAGACAGACAGACAGACAGGTGCACAGCAACCTTTAGAACATCATCAATCATCATCATATTTGCTGAAATCTGATTTTTTTCACAGATTATCCGTCTCATGTACTACTATCAGGATATAGAGAAAGGTTGAGCAAATATGACAAAAAGTTATTTTTTTTAAAGTTACCTACTGCAGCTTTAACCCATTTAAAAATATAACGGTCCAACTTAAGTAGATATTCATAAATTAATAAACCATACATAGAATAAACAGCGCTGCATAAAGTTTTGTACAGTGGACAGCAAAAAATCTGTCCCATATTTTCCCATATTTTAAAGAAAACCTTAGTAAAGTCCTTGATTACATCAGGACAAAAGCAGTTTGACTGTTTAGTGGCTAAAAAAGAGCTATACATCCTCAATAAATACCACCCCAGTGCAGTAATAATCAAACTTATTATCAATGATGGGATAAGCAAGTAATAAAGAATCCAAGTTGAATTTTACTGAAATAAAGGTCAGCATGATGGCATCAGCAATGTATTGTTTATTCTCCCTACATAAATAACATTACTTCAACTGTGTTCTACTCCATATTTTTCCCCTGCCATGCCTCTATGCCCCACCGGGGGGGCCCTCCCCACAGTTTGAGAACCACTGCCATGGTGTCAGATTAGTAAACCACCAACTAAACAAATATCAGCACTACTTGTTGGAAGTGTAACTCAGCCCACTCAGTACTCTTGCTGTGTGTGGGCAGGGAGTACAAACAGAAGCAATAAAGTTATGGAGCCTGGTGGTGGCGCTGTATTCCACTCACAGTGAATGGGAAAGGGTTCCAGCTCGGTCTCCTGGCTGGTCAGCCTGTGTGTGGACACGCAGGCAAAGACCGCGCCGACGTCCTCCTTGGTGGCTGCATACTGGAGGGTGGAGGAGGTGGTGGACAGGCCTGTGGCTGGATCCAGCTTCAGGCTCGGGGTGATCACAATGGCTGCGGAGAGAGGGACGGACAGTGCAGATACATAGAACATATTTAGTGGAGCCTTTAGCAGCAGGTCAAACAGCATTGCAAACACTTTTGGTTTAGCTGCAAAACCAGATGGGTTGGGTTAATCGTGCCAAACCAGATCAGATGATGGGATGTCTTAGTTGCCTATTAGGAGTAGTTCTGTCTTTACTGTCAGGTACTCACTGACTGCTCCTATACAGATCCTTCCTTGACAAGTAAACAACAGTGAATGGTGTATTTCTATTGCTATCTATTCCTATTGTTTTTGGGTAAACACACCACGAGAGATTTCATTTTCACTCTCCTGTCACTGTAGAACATTTGCAGGCCCCCACGGGGATTCCTGTATGACAGCATCCTGTGCGGTTTGACTGTCGGATGGTTTCGGATGGAAACGTGGAGTTACCTTTCCCGTCGTCTACCAAGGCCTTTCCGTTCTTCTTCCATGTTATTGTAGCTGCGGGGTTAGCCTCTGCCGCAACACATGTTCCCAGCTGGACAAAACAGAAAGGAAGAAAACAATAAAATATTAAACAAAAAGCAATGTAAGTTCACACTGACTGTAACTGTTTTAATTCACTTCAGTCACTTAACTGCAAATGCTAAGATACAAGAGGACCTGACAGATACATTTATTTAATTCAGTCTGGTTCTATCTGTATGAAAGTGAGGTTGGGCATTTATTAAAGCTCTTTGCAATACCCTTATGACTTGAATTTATTCTAATATAAGAATTTATTCCAACAATTTTCATTGGAGTACATCAAATATAACATTCTCTTGTGTTTCTGGTAGTCTAAACATTATTTCAGAGGCTGTTTCACACTGAAATGAATAATTGTGTAGGAACAAAATAGCTACTATTAGGAGCTTCACTCTAAAACCCATTTCAGTGAAGTCCTCATTTCTCTGTCCTGGGGTTGTATAATGTAACGTCTGCTTTCCAGCATTAACAGGAGAATGTTGGACATGGGCCAGCAAAGACAAACAACTATCTCATTCAGGAATGAACTAGTTCTTGTGTTCATAAGCACGCTGTCTCGTTGTTACATCTGCAGGATTGAAGGTCAGCAACGGTAGCGGAGATATGGTGTGTGTGAACCAGATAAGGAGGGAGTCATAAGAGCATTCCTTTCCCCAAACCCCCTGGTTTTTATATCCTGTACTACAGCCTCCACCGCTGAGTGAACATGACTCGTCACAAACATGTTTTTGAGTCTTTTGTCAGAAAATACGATAGTTTTACAGAAGTAGAAGCACATATCTGGTCATTTTTTCTCACTAAAAGTTCAATTACCTGGTCAGAAATTCTTTGGGGGACAGTTTAACCAAAAATCAATCAATTGTTTTGATGTGAGTTGCTGAGTTTTGGAGATATTGATTCCATTATACTGGAGAGAAGGCTTATATCTCCAAAACCCAGCAACTCACACAAAAACAATGTAGATGGATAAATAACACCACAGGTAAGAGGAAAAATATGTATTCTTGATTTTGAACTGTCTTGAACTGTCCTGAATCTAAATCTAGAAATCCAGAATCTATGAATATGCATTTGAACATGTTAACTGCTAGACCAAAGTTACAAAACCAGGCTTGTGTAATTGTGTATTTAATTAACTGGTGCATTGTTGCAGCCATTCCCTGCTTTTCATTTCATTTACACCTGCACACATTCGCCACTGGTCTCAGCATGGAAATTTGGAAAATTTAGTGCAACAAAAATGGTTCCATGGGTATAACGGAGCACTGATAATAGATAATTCTAACCATGGCGCTGAATGATAAGCGGTGGAACATGCCCTTATCAGCACTGTGTCAACATCTGATCCGGACTGCTGTCAGTAACACACAAATGCAACAATTCCCATGTTCCACGCTTAAACCCACCTACTAAACTGCTTATTGTCGGGTATGATATGTCACTTCAGATACACATACTGACCAATAGAGGTAACAGCCTTACAGTCAGCTGGTGTCTGGTTGGGCTTTGAGTCGAAGGTCTAAGTAATTAATTTCACAATAGCAATAAGCAGACCTACCATCAGGGGTATCAAAGGGTACAAATGGTCCTAGCCCCAGGCACACAGGGGACCCATGCAAAGGGTTTTAAACAATTTACTTACTGACTTATATCACTGATAATCATTAAGCATTTAGCATTACTAGTAATAATATTACATTAATATTATTACTTTCCAGAGTAACCAGTAGTGTTCCCAATTACTAATACATTTTATGAATATTATTAGTTACCCCCCAAAAAATAATTACTGCTAATTACTACTAATTTGAAATCTAATCCAATCCTAGTAAATTAAACTTTTGCTAACTCAAATAATTGTGTCCCCTAATTCCTAGCAATAAGAAATATAGTTAATTAAAACATACATTCAGCAGATATGCTTTGTAAACAGGTCACCACGCTGCATCTCAGAATAATAATACTGATTTGGCATTTGCTTTCTTTCAGCTTGAGGCTTTCTGGCTTTTATTTTGACGCTGATCGCTCGCTCACAATGCTGTCGTCCATCACTGAGCAGTTGAAAATGCCAGTAGGTGGAGAGCGATTGCGAATGTCTACAAATGTGGCGCATAGTGGAGCGCCCTTTTTCTGAAGCACAGGAAGTTATTGAAGTCATTTTTGAGTTGTCAGCATTGATCAACAACCCTGTGAACCCCCTGCATGTATATTATGACCATTATGTGATGTAGAGCAGGGAACTTATTGTGCATTTAGGGAAAGTGTGTGTGTGAGTGACTTTTATTGCTGGCCGGAGGAGTGCAGGAAACCTTCTTTGGCTTACCGCCGTTGACGAATTGCACTGGCTTGAATTGCACAGTGTCAGTTGTGCTGGCTATCCTTTATTTCACACAATAACACCCACTTTGTTATCCAGTGTGGTCTGATCTAATGGGCAAGGCTGGAGAATGCAATGCTATATAAGTTGACCACAGGAGGCTAGAAGATGAACGTGTTGTCTGAGTCCGATATCATAAAATCCCCCAGCAACCATCCATCTCTCCATAATCTACACTAATACAAAGAGTTTAACATACTGTACTGGTCAAGGAGGAAACTCTAGCTCTTCTCTCTCACTCAGATCAAATATATAACAACCTTAACTCTATCCAACATCACATTCAACTTGAAAAGACAACATCAACCTATATCATCTTCTCCTGTCTAATTATTTTTCATCAGAGTTCCCACTCTTTTTAAGAAATGGTTTTGGGCCTTTCCAGGACATTTTTCTTGACAATACAGGACAGAACTTGCACTCGCAAGCGGTAGTCAGCCATCGGTGGTCATCATTTATGGCACATTCCCTGTTAGCTCACTTTCATAGTGTTTGGCTGTTTACTATCTCATGTCAAAATGGCTGCTGTGAAAAAGGTCTATTCCTCCTTTTGTGAATTTGGCCACAGCACAGGCTAAAATACCATTTACAATTTTCCAGGAAAATTAGAATATCTCAAGGATATTTGGTCATTTTAATTTGAAAGGATATTTGGTCAGTACTATTTGGTCATGGGAAGTGTTTCCATGACTGGAAAACTAGTCTCTAAATTACCAGGTTTTTGTGAAAATTTCTAAACTTCTGGCAATGTCTGTTGGTGTTTAGGAACACACAATTTAGCTATGATTAGTCAATTAATTGATTAGTTGAATTATTATTAATTATTAAATTAATAACTTTTTCAAACTATATATAATTGATTAGTCAGTTTCTCTGAAATTCTCTGATTTCAGCTTCTCAAATGTGAATATTATCTGTTGTCTTTAGTCCTCTATGACAGTAAACTGAATATGTTTGGGTTGTGGACAAGATTAGATCAATTGATAATGAAAATAATTGTAAGTTGCAGCCCTACTCTTTTTACCAGTGTTTCTCAAAAAGGGATACGTGTATTGCAGGGGATACTTAACTTTTTTTTTAAATGTTTATTTAAAAAAATATCAGTCATAATAATTCCTAAAATAATATTTCTAAACTTCAATAAAAAATGTAAATGTAAGTTTGATAAACCACCTTTTTTATTCAATAGTCCTGTTTCCAGTGCAATCGTTGACCACTAGAATAGCCATTCACAGGTATTCACAAGTAACTTGTCCAAAAATACGCAGTTCAATGCAGCTGAATGCCGTCTTAGTGTTATGTGTCAAAATGAAGGTCCTGTCACTTTCAGTCAATTAGATCAGCCCAAGCGCTACCAAAAAGGGTCTGTCTGGTGTCTGACGCGGGCAAACATCAAAGTAAAAAGCCACCACATATCACCTTGTTATGATCAGGAACAGAGCAGAGCAGGCTGGAGAGCCTCGAACAAAAATCTATTATAATTTCAGAAAGGCCAAGAATTTATCTAGCTTGGAGTAAATATCACTTGGCATAATGGATGCTATACAATGTCTTCATGTCAGGCTCTTATCAGTGTAAATTTATTCATCAGCAACTATAACGCCTCCTGTGGCCAACCATAAATGGAGGCTGTTAAATAGATAATGACAATATTCTAAAACAGGGATATACAATATGTCTTCATAGTATAAGATATATCTGTTGACAAATACTGTAAATTAATCAATGTTTTAAAATCTCCTTGTACCTGCATAAAACCTACATTATAGTATGTAAACCATTTTTTGCGTGTTTATATACTGATTATGAATATGCTAAATAGGTGGGGTTAAAGTACAGTCTTGCCACTTCAAAAATGTTCCAGAAATAATAATGCATTGTGTCTTTGGACTGATTATTTTTGCTGATTAAAGGACTCGAGAAAAATTATCTATCGAGAGCCAGTGTTTGGTTTGTCCGTCCTGGGCTACTGTAGAAACATGGCATTTCAACATGGCAGATTCTATGGTGAAAACACAACTATTCTTATTTTCAGGTGATAATACACTAATAAAAACCTATCTATGAATATTATATTACATTTCTGACAATAGATCCTTTGGGGCTTACACACTGGACCTTTTAAGAATGATTAGTATTTTTACCCATCAGAAAATGTCTGATGAATCACTTCCTGCATATAAAGATATCTATGTCTCTGTCATCCCCAAACTGGTATCATGTATGACTTGACCGAAGTGAGCTTACTATACTTTTACAAGTCATACACTCTCACAATCTAGATGACTCTGTCCTTGACAAAATGCTGGTACTACCCACCTGATATTGATTCTCATGACCAAAAATTGGTACAGTACATGCCTTCTCATTTATGAAGCATCTGGCATGAAAGCTTGAATTCAGCAGCATGGCTTACTTCATTTCTTTATGAGAAACTGCACACTGTCGGACTTTTGGAGCAAATGAAAATAAGACCTCTGCTATTCCACGGCTGAGAGAGTTCATGGTCGCTGCCTTCTCCACCACTCAATGTGACACTTCACTCTAATTTGGAATTCTACTTGTGTATGAAGCAACCTCCATCACCTTCTCTGCAAGTTATCAAAATCCCTCTCATCCACTCCCACTATTTCTTTCCTTCCCAACTCATATTCCCTGTGTCTCTCCCCTCCCTACAAAATGCTCAAAGTTGTTCAATAGCACCTGAATTTTTAGGTGGGAATACCAATAGAGGCAGCAGTACTCGCTTGATCCATTATAAATGTGTATATGCCGCATGTGGTGGAAGAAATGTGCATTGCTTGCTAGAGAGGAGGCAGATGACCGCTATGAATGTGCTGCCCACAGCTTTTCAAAAGTTTTCCAACACTCATACTATAGTGAATGTGAGAGGGCGTGAGTTCAGGGAATGAAAATAAACAGCACAATAAGGAGAGAAACTCTTGCAGGAGTGGGTGTTTAACTATGAATCAAAGCAAGTACGGATTTGAAACGTATGCACTGTTCACATTTGTGCACATGCTGTCATATTCCGACATTTCATGTGGTTTTTCACGCCAGTGTTCTCCACTAAAAGCATTTTAGTAGCAACCATAGGAGATGTTTTGATACTGACTTCAGCCATCTTTCACCACAGTATTACCTTTACTGCAGCTCCATTGGAGAACCGCATAAGCGCTGATATATCACAACTGGGCCAGAAAAAAAACAATAAAGTAGGTCTGATAACACATTTGTTTCTAAATTTGAGTAAGCCTGATACGGTGAACATTGATGTGTATGTCAAGAGGCATCAGTTAAGTTGACTGAATTTGCTTGTTAAACAGCTAATTAGCCAGCAGTTCAAGTACAAAAAAATACTGATGTCTATATTTACATTTACACAATGCAGGAAATAACCATGTCTTTTTCATCTGAAAGAGACATTTACAATCAACCCTAACCCATATAAATCTAGTTACCTAAAGTCAAACTTTTCTTGCCACTATACAAATTGTTTTATTTAACAAATACAAATAACAAATAACAACAAAGAGCCTCTTAGCTGCCATGCAAGCGAGATTCTGTCAGCACTCCAGCGATGTTTTTCAGAAACTTGTCCTACCTTTGAAAAACAACCGTTTTACCTGCCTTGCACTCAAACTTGTGGCATATAATCCAGACGTATAATCTAGTCATGAGCCGATGTAAAATCTGTTTATAAATCACTCTATATTGATGTTTTCAGGGGAGGACCCTGCCAGTTTGATGGATTTTTCTCAAAGAACTGTCTTTCTTTGCTTTGCTCAGAACATTGTTGTTCTGAACGAAGGCTGGCTTTCTTATTATTTGTTATTACATTGGACTCCTTGGCAGTCAGTGTTTTCTTTTGCTTGCTGGACAGCTCTATTCACTTTCTTATCTCTGTGTCTGTGAACTTTTCCTTTCCTTTTTTCCTCCTGAACATCGCTGCATATTACAGGTTTCACAGGCTAGGTAACAGCCACAGTCACATGGCATGCATCGTGCAATACTAGGATTGAGTTTGGTTGGTGCAAGTTAATTCTACAGACTGCTCTTAACAAAGGCCGCCTTAGCTGTTAGGACCAGGCTTAGTAGAGACCACCTGGTGCAACCAATCCACTGTACAGAACACTAAAATGCAAAGGCTGTAATGAATCTCACCGTTACTGTTTTGTCCTTCTGCAACACTTCAGACTTGTCCATAATCTGGACTGAGGAGGGCTTCTCTGCAAACACAAAAGGAGATAATCAGGTTTTGGAATTACAAAATTGTAGCTTGCAAAGCATTTGCATAAACTTTTTCAGAATTTCCTGCCTTTCTTCATACCGACAATGATTTCTAAACGTATGTACAGAACACAAACACAAACGTTCAGCAAACGGCCAGCAGATAGCCCAGTTCATCTAAATGCTTAGCTGCAAACTTACTGCATTGTTAATATTCAAGCTGTAGGGCATCATTTCAACTTGCCCCCTGTTAACTACAGTCTAATGCTCTCTCTAAGGCCTACTGAGTGTAGTCTCTTCATGTCCTATTTCATGCTTGGGTTTGCAAAGCCCATTAGCAGGTGATACATTGGCAGTTGTGGGGAGTGAAATTCAGATTCAGAACCGTATTTCAGGAGGAAACAAATGGGACACAGTGGATGAAATTGAGTTTTAATGCAATTAAAACCAAGCCGTTTGTTAGCAAAAGTGAATATAAACATTACCCATGAATCTTTGAATAAGCTTGACAAATGTATTTTATTTATTTATAATGCTAAGGATTATTCGTTTCAGTGACTTCCTGGAAATTACACCAAATAGCTTGAACATGACAACATTAACAAAATGTATTGTTCTCTGTTCAACAGCCTGCATGATGTTCTTTATTTGAAGATGACTAAATATGCACACAATATACTTTTACAGATCGCATTAAATAGAAGAAATCTAATCTATTAAAAAAGTCATATTTTCTGAAACTAAAAAAATCTGTTAAAAAAGGTAATAGATTGCTGAGTCTTGTGAATGACAGTCATCTTCAAGCTTCCAATCTAAAGCGTCTTTGTATTTTTTTCGGCTCTGATTGGTTGGTTTTCATCCAGGCCCGGTGGATTCTTGTACATGTCATTAGGAGCACTAAAATGAGCCAGAGTAACCAGATTTTATCACAGATGATCTGTTTTATGTACTGCAGTTAGAAGAACATTTCAGCAATGATGACAAAAAGTTATGTCTATAAAAGTTACCTACTGCAGCTTTAATGTCATATACTGTATATTCAGGTGCAGTTTTAAAGATGCTAATTTAATTTTCCAGAAGTGACTATGATGATCTCTACCCCTTTCAGACATGGAATATGTAAGTAGTGAAGGCTTTTTGGAGCACCGTCATAGTGAGAACAGCAGTAGTGTGTACACAATATAATATGATGGTCGAGACAGACGACCACCCACCTAGAACCGAAGGATCTGTCCTAGGTTTCTGCCTTTTAACAGGCAGTTTTTCCTTGCCCCCATCGCCAAGTGCTTGCTCATGGTGGTACTGTTGGGTCTCTGTAAATGTTATAAGGAGTTCGGTCTAGACCTGCTCCATTTGAAAAGTGTCCTGAGATAACTTCTGTTATGACTTGGCGCCATACAAATAAAATCGAACTGAATTTAATTGAATTTAATTGAATGATTATAATATGATGATAATATGATGTAGGAAGTGTCTTCTGTTCTTCTATTAATTCACCAGTTAGGTTATGAGGATAAACATTATTATAGTGTTTTGTGTCTATATTGAGCTTACTGTAAACAAGCACAGAGACAGGGAACTCCATGAGGTTGGCATGTGACACCACCATGCAGGTGAAGGTCTTTTGGTCTTTGAGTGAGGCCTGAGTGATAAGCAGGTTGAACTTGTCATCAATGCTGACCCGCTGGGCGTAACTGTCCGTGGCCTGAACAGTGGCCTGTTCGTTGCGGGCCTGTTTGATCAACAGGTCTCCGGGAGTGCCATCGTCTTTTTCCTGAAGCACAACACAGAGAAGAGACGGAAATGATAGGAAGGTTGGGTGTTTCTGTAAAATCAATGCAGCACAGTTCCTCATTACTCAGTCATAATTATAGTTTAACTTTAACAGAGAAGTAGAAAATGTAAGAATTTACCACACAGCATAAAAGTGTCCATCAACAAACCTCCAAAGAACATGTATCATTCAAAGTAACACCAAGAAAAACAAACATTAATCAGAAGGAGAACACACTACTTAGTTACTGATTCAGCATGACAGATCATAATTTATATCATTGATGCTGGCTAATTACACAGGGGATTATGAGGATCCATATTTATCAGACATCTTAGTTTACAATTATATGACATGCAAATCTAGGTTTTTCTAAAGGCTTTATTATGCACACACGCTTTTAAAGCCCTGCTCAAACCTCTGCTTAATGAAGTTACAGGAGCATCTCAAAGCACTTCAGCACCTGCACCTATAGGCATTGGTAAGAGATCCTTCACTGAAGTAAAAGTACTAACCATGATGTTAAAATACTCAACTTCCAAACTATTTGTGATGTCACAGAACATTCTGGTAGGCCCTGCCCCTTAAAATCAGATTTTCAATGAGCACAGAGAAACTTTCCACTTTCAGCAGATGAATGTGAAAACATCCTTCTAGTGTCAAACTCTGCACAGATGCCATTCAAACAGCACGCTGTAGGAACAAGAAGAAACACAGTTGAAGGGGGACTAATAATAATAATGTCATAACTTTATTAAAGCAGTCGTGTCTGACGTTGGGGAGACGCCATGCAGTAAGTAAGATCTCTGATTTGCAGAATTTGCCAAACATGCACCAATCACGCCATTTTTAATTTTAATTTTTCCTTTTTTTTTTTGTTGACAAAAACGTCTTTGTTTGACTGAAACTAAAAACTTTTTTTATAAAAGCACAGAGTGGTATTACTTTTCAAGGAGTTAAGCAGAGTTTGTCTTCAAATGGCACTGATTAGTCGTGTCTTTTATATAGGAGTCCAAGAACCATGAAACATGTGGACTGAAGTTCAGTTGTAGACTTGATGCAAAACCCTCTTAAGAGGTAACAGTGCAACGACACGTTTCTTCTGTCTTAGGTAGTGCTCAACCTAAAGCACTCAAGTATTGGACCATTTTCTAAACTGTAGTGTGTATGCTGTATGTTGAAGGGTTTTCATTTAAAGCTTGACAGCTTCTACTAGAACCCAAGTTCCAGTAAATTCCCTCCAGTCTGTAGGTTGATGTCAGGGACACACCTCTTATCTTATTTACTTTATTTATTAATCATGGCACACACAGAATGTAATAATGACATTCATATATTCATAACATATATAAATATCTACCATTACTAAACAGGTTTTTATTATCCCCTTAGAGATCCTCATCAATGTAATAACTCAATAAAGACGCCTGTTTCTAGATCCCCAGGATTGGATTATGTTTTTTCTGTGAACACCTGCATTATTTATAGAGGAGGGAATAATATTTGTATCATGAACAGCAGCATTTGTAAATATAAGACAAGTAAAATATGAGATTTATCCATTTGGACTTCACTTTAATGCTCCCACAGTCTCTCTGCTGGAGGGAAGAAGAGTCTATTGGATTTTCTTTCTGTACATCAATGATGAATTTGATATGGGAGCAGCAGTATGTTATTGTATACTCTACTGTACATGTAGTACACCCTTGTGCATATTTGATGTTTGTGACAATGGGTCATCCTTCTATTTATGACAGATCTTAATTACTCTTTTATCTATCCATGCCTCTGTGATATCCTTTCTCCCTCGCTCTCATTTTTCAGTGATTCTGACTGAAACTCTTGTATTGCCCAGGTGAATTTCACGACATATTTGGCTCTTCCCTAAAACCACTACTTTTTTTGCGCATGTCAGTATTTCCTAATTCTTCCAGGAAAGTTTAAAAATGTATGTGACAATGTGTAGTCATATACACCAAAGCCAAGTCATTTCATATGGTCAATTTTTTCCTCTATTTGCATGTGTTGGGAAAGTGTGCATTCATTAAGCCTAAAAAACACTTTATAGTAGGACTATGTGTTGGCAAGAGTGTGGCAATACAGGGGATACAATTCAGTATATTTCAATATATTGAGGTGATATATTGCTTTTTTGTTTATAAAATCTTTAAAAAGTTAACTTTTTTATGCAGCCAGAACAGTGGAACAATCATTATCATAGCCCTCTGCTAGCTAGTGGCAAGGGGTTTTAACACAAAAATCGGCAGCGTTTTTAGAATGGATACAATATAACACAACAAAAATGCAAAATATACATATACATACATACAATACAGTATTTTTCGATATTTTCTTACACCCCTACTTCATAGACAGCATTGGAAGTCAGTTTCTACTTACATATTTCCACTTGACGAACATCAGATGCTGGGGTACCGGAGCTCCATCGTTGCATGGTATAACAATGGTCTCTCCATACAAGGCAGTCACACTTTCTGTACCCCAAACTGCAACACAAAAGCCAACAGATTGTTACTATTAACCATTAATCAAAAAAAAAAAAAACTTCTTTCTGTCACAGGTGTCTAGCAACAGTGGGAGCTTTTGTCCCGAGTACTGCTGGTCTGGAGCCTCATTGGCCAAATCTGGGCAGATAAACTGAGAAATATGTGCTCTCTCCTACCTCAAGTACTGTTATGGTGTATTTGTGCACATCATACGCGAAACATTCCAGTAGAGCTAGGTTACAGTCAAAGGGTTACAAACTTTTGACATCATAAGAAACACAGCAACAATAAAAAAGCATAAGTGCTTGTGGGATTCATACTTTTAAGTGACAAGGAGAGACCTGATGTCACTTGATCTAGAGCCTTTGAAGAACAGAATATTCAAACAAAATATATGGCTCATATCCCTATGATCCCAGAGTTTTTAGACACCCTTAACTAGAATGAGCTTAGACTTGGCAGCCAAGTGTGAGCTTCTAGAAATGGATGGGTGCAAACTAAGTGAATAAAGCTACACCAAATGTAGTGACACCACATTTCAGGAATGCCCCCAGCTCGATGGCAGAGGTGCGATTCAAGCTCAGTGCTACTCGTGCAGTGGCAGCATAAAATAATTTCCTCTGTCCACAAAAGTGAGGGAGCATTGAGTTGGAGTGGTTGCTATGGCGGCACAGCCCAGTCATGTGCATCGTGGGAGGAGGGAGAAAAGGGGGCGGAGAAAAGATGGATGGATGGGGGTCAGAGCAAACCAGAAGGTCTTCACGCTTCAACTCTTTCTCTTTGAGCTTTTGGCTAAACAGGCAGAACAAGAAGCAGTTCAGATTCTGGTCATTCCAGAGTGATGAGGCCAAAAAACACTGTGCAGCTGCTGACTGATGCGGCTGCTTTTGCTCAATGCTCGTCTGTTCATACTTCCCCCAGCTCTGTGCTGACCTTAACTCATATCAAATCTTTTGCTAAAGTTAGTACGCAACAAAACAAGTATCAGGTCCTCTTCCAGGTCAGAAGAAGACACATCCACAGCTCTAATCATAATCATCATAATCAATAAATGTTTTTCACCAACATCTCATTATTAAATGTGTTCAGATTAGTGCTTTCAAACCATTAAAATATTTAATCTCGATTAATCGCATTAATGTCATAGTTAACTCGCAATTAATCGCACATTTTTATCTATTCTAAATGTCTCTTGATTTCTTTTTGTCCCATTATTTTTTTCTCATTTTAATGCTCTTATCAACATGGAAAAGTGGATCGGCTTGCTTTATGCAAATGTTGTTTTTATTGAAAACAACATTGGCATATACTGTAGTGTTCAATTTCACACTAACATTCTCACTTGGAGCAAATAATCTCTCACACAATGTAACACTGTCCATCAATAAAAGAGTGAAAAAAATACTCTGTCACACAAACAGCCCCTTCAACAGCCTTTTCTAAGGGATAAAAACAGGGCGATACAAAATAAAATTGCAAAGTGCACATGTAAGGTAAACTAGGACTCAGCCTATAGTGCAGTTAAACCATGGCTTAATACTTTTCTCAAGTTTGCTTTGAACATAGCAGTCAGCCTACTGCTCTTTATTCACCAGAAGCTCAACCCAGCCTCTTATTTCAGAAAGAATGAACAGTAACGGTTACCAATAAATGGTAAGCCTACTACTTCTTTGCTTTGAGCCAGTTACTCAAACAGACAAGCCTGTTGACATTTTCAGGCAACAAGGAATCCAAAGTGTGTGCGGTGTGCCTGTTGTTTTGTTTCCGGTCTAACTAGATCTGGTGTGGTGTTGTAGTTTTTTCTAACGTTACTAGTTGTTGCAACAGCATGTGAAAAAAACTACAAAGTGTGCTAGGCCAAAAAGAGTGTTAATCTTGTGATAAAAAACTTTACGCCGTTAAAATGGGTCTGCGTTAACGCCGTTAATAACGCGTTTAACTGTCAGCACTAGTTCAGATCAAAACTTCGCAACCTTGTTTTATATTTAGTAAATTGGGTTTGACAGACAAATATATTCCATGAATCAGTTCATTTCCTGAATCAACAGCAAGTCAACCTGTAATTGCCGAGATCCACTCTGTTTTGAACCAGTTTGACAACATCCAGTCAAGTTGCCGGAGAGAACCACGAAGAGCTAACTGCGTTACTGAGGGCCAGTTGGAAAAACTGATCAGTTGGTCAGTTCATTCAAAAGTTGAGGACTTACAAAACAATGACTTGGTCCAACCTCTGGAAATGTATAAGCCTTAATGTGAAGTTGAGCATATGACCTTCCTTGTCCTACAAGATGTTGTCAAATTATACATTATTCTTCCCTTCCATATATTATAATAAGTGATGTCAGTTCTGATTTGTGGTTCTGTTTATTCACATCAGAGACCAGGATCGTTTGAACATCTAGAAGAAATACATCAATGGTGTGAACTTCCAATAACACAAAGCTTCATTGATTTTTTTCCAAGGAAATGACGCACAAAGCTGCTTTCAAATTAAAGCAACTGTGTATACGATGAGCTACACTGGTTATGGTTTAATGAAGAAGACCATGAAAAAAAGCTGCATGTTTTCCCTGGTAATGCAAGACACAAGTCACATGGGGATTCGGCTCAGAGAGTCAGCTAAATTTAACATCTTTGATCACATAACAACAGTTATGGAGAAGTAAACAAACTGTCTCAGTGAATTCGAGCTGGATGGCCAATTATGAGAATGTGTGCGCCTGAAAACTTCACAGTGCAAAGAACTAAAGTGGAAGCAGAAAAAAAAGTCTCTAATTTTAGGAGGTACGAGACAACTTGGTTTCCTGCCCAGTTCTTTTCTGGGTTTCACATTCATACAAAGGTCACAGTGTCAGTGACATACAGGAAAAGAAAGGAGAAGTGGTGTTAACATTGTCTTAAAGTGTGCACACACAGATATGCATTTGTATCACCAGATGGCACAACTACTAAATATCGTATTGGTGAGTGGCCAAAAAGAGAGAAAATAAGAACTTGCAGCCCCTCTATGGCTAGATTTATGTGTATATATGTGTCTAAATATAGTTGGCTAGAGTGCTGAAGTCTTTGCAGTTCAATGGATTTTCTAATTGGCAAATTACAGCCACACAACCCCCAAAAGCCTTATTGTTGTTTAGTTGATTTAAATCATAGGCCGTTGTACTGTGATAACAAAAGAACTGATCAAATGTATCAGACGTACCATGCATAACATTTCATTAAAGCTGCAGTAGGTAACTTTTGTAAAAAATATTGTTTGTCATATTTGCTGACATTTTAACAGTACATGAGACAGATAATCGTTAAAAAAAATCAGGTCATCAAACGAGAACTACCAATCAGAGCCAAGAAATATAGTTGATTGTTGAGTCTCATTCCCAGGTTGTCAAATACAGATGCTTTGGGACCCTGGGAATGAGACTCAACAACTATCTTCATGCCTCTAACCCAAAAAGTCTTTATATCTTTCTGGGCTCTGATTAGTTGTTTTCAACCAGGCCAGAGGGGTTCTTGCAAAAATTATTAGGAGCACTAGAAGGACCCAGAAGACCTTGATTTTTCTGTTCACTCATAGTGAAATTTTCAGAAAATGTGACAAAATATTTTAATAAAAATGCACACACACACACACACACACACACACACACACACACAAAGATGCAGAGAAGCATTGATAGCAAGCCCCGGTTATAATATTAAATCCAAGGTGTCTGCTACAATGGTTCTTGTCAGAGCTGTAGCATGGTATGCACAGTGGACAAACAGTGGCAAAAAAAACGGTTACCTAAGAATCCAAAGCAAACAGTGCAGCTGGGCCTCACTGCCTGATATAACCACACTCCCTTTTACATGTAGCGTGACCAGGTGTCCCACTCTATGTTGCTTTTTTACCCCTTGTCCTACAGTGTTTCCTCTATGTTGATTTTGGAGCGGCGGCCCGCCGCTGTTCAATTTCTGCCGCCACGGTATCAGAAATGGGGCAGACGCACAATGTAGTCACGGTTGCCTTTTAAATGATCCTGCTGACATAATGCACCCCCGCTGGCTGCCGCTCACATTGCAATTTAACAACAAGTAGAACTATTTAGAGGTTATTGGGGCTGTTGTGTTGATGTAGCTTATTGTCAAAACGTTTGCTTTCTTCCAAGTCAACTATTAAACTAACAGCTCCACCAAAAACGTCACCGCTGTGGGTCCGTTTTAATTGGACAACGTTCAACTTGTCAGTTCTCAGCTCAACGTCCTGATATCAAACATCTGGAAACATTAAAACGGGAAATATATTTGTTTGTGTCGCAGCGAAGTGTCAGTTCTGTTTCATACGTAAAATGTTTGTCGGCGTGGGTGTTCGGACGACCCTGCCCCCACTGCTAAAAAAAATCCTAGAGGAAACACTGTCCTACATATTGAGATGATGTGCCACATTTTGATTGGCTCTAGTTTTCAAAAGCCAAACCACTGCAGGACAGAGGCTTTTCTAAAATCTGGCTTTTATCCAGTGGCTATGAAGTAAGCAGGTAAGGCTGTCATCATAGGGCTGTGTTTGATATCAATCAAACTGCACACAAACGTGGGTCAAGTACAGGTTAACCTGCAAAGACTGGGAAACTACTTTTAATTGCCGGTGGAAGGCGACTATAGCCCTATTCGTATGGGACTAGTATTAACTGGGGACCTGGGGAAATCATGTGATTTAGTAATTACCCAACCACATAAGCGAAGTCTGGGTTTTAACTTGAATTTACTGACATTATCCCCGGATGTGATGTCAAGGCTCTGCGTAACCTATGTGTAACATCCGATTCCTGGACGACAAGAGCAATGGCTGCAAAGGAAAAAAACCCGGAATTGGACGTGCGAAGAGACGCTCAGTTTAATTGCTGTGTGGGGTGAACCACATTACCAAAAGCAATTTGATCAAATGGTGCACCACCACACAGTTTGGGAAAGTATTTACAAAGACCTCTTGCTCTGGTGCCTGTCTGTACAGGGGCTACCTG